AATTAACACAAGAGCATGTTATAAAAAAACTTTTAGAACAAAAGTTGTAGCAAATTTTATTCTTAACAATATTGCTCTCTTGCACTTTTACTCTCAGGTGTATAGATATAGAGAAAAACATGAAAATTTGATGAATTCCGTTGTTTTAAGTAGGTAATGGTAACATTCCGGAATCGGAACATGCTATAAAAAAACTTTTAAAATAAAAATTGTAGCAAATTTTATTCTTAACAATATTGCTCTCTTGCACTTTTGCTCTCAGATGCGTAGATATTGAGAAAATCACGAAAATATGAAAATTTTATGGATTTCGTTGTTTAACGTAGGTAATGGTAATATTCTTGAATCGGAGTATGCTATAAAAAAACTTTTAGAACAAAAGTTGTTGCAAATTTTATTCTTAACAATATTGCTCTCTTGCAATTTTGTTCTTCAATGCTTAGATATCGAGGAAAATATGAAAAATTGATGAATTTCGTTGTTTTAACTAGGTAATGGTGACACTTCGGAATCGGAGCATGCTATAAAAAAACTTTTAGAACAAAAGTTGTAGCAAATTTTATTCTTAACAATATTGTTCTCTTGCAATTTTGTTCTTCAATGCTTAGATATTGAGAAAATCACGAAAATATGAAAATTTTATGGATTTCGTTGTTTAACGTAGGTAATGGTAACATTCTGGAATCGGAGTATGCTATAAAAAAACTTTTAGAACAAAAGTTGTAGCAAATTTTATTCTTAGCAATATTGCTCTCTTGCACTTTTACTCTCAGGTGTATAGATATCGAGAAAAACATGAAAATTTGATCAATTCCGTTGTTTTAAGTAGGTAATGGTAATGGTTGTTATTTAGAATATGGCTGATAATACAATATTAAATGTGGAGCAACTTTCCATCTATAACATTTTGTCATATCTCCAACAATAATCAGCATATCTGCTGTGGCAGCTAAAATTAAACACTATACAGTGTGTCCCAGGATAGATGTTACAAGAGGTATAATGACTTAAAAAATTTTGAATTTTATTTTATGGCACTATGCAAAATTGCAGAAAGATCTACCTACATTGATTAAACCATCATATTTTAGATAAGAATTTTTTTTGCTGATAGAAAGACAGGCAATTTACTTCCAACATGATGGATGCTCTGCACATTCTACAACACGTGTAGCTGAATGGTTAAATTTAATATTTCGAGAAAAGATTATATCTAGAAATGGTCAAATTGCTTACAACAAACAACATTTGCTAACAAAATTACCTTACAATATTAGATTTCTTTCATGGGGTTGCTTTAAATAACTAGTCTTCGCTCAAACAATATCGAACAATCGAAAAATATTAAAAGAACGGATAACAAATGCTATATGACAAATACGCATCGAAGAATTTCAGAACAGCTTTAGAGAATTTAGGCATCGTATAGAAAAGTGTGCAACAAAAAGCAGGGCTTAATTCCTCAGCCTTAAAATAAAATTCAAAAATTTTTAAGTCAATATACCTTTTGTTACATCTATCCTGGGACAGACTGTATATCTCAAGAAAAGCCATAAAGCATAATTAAGTCAATACTGATTCTGCGTACTATGTACACCTGAGGACTGCATATTAGATCATGTTATGCGATCAGCTTGATTTGGGTTTAATTGCGTTAGGTTGCATCAAGTTGGGTTGAGTGTCCCGCAGGGCATGATACTTGATATGATGTAGCTTATTAGCCAAGACATAGAAAGTACCACTTTTCGGCACAGTACTTAGGTTGATCATTACTGTGGTCTTTGTAATTAGAAGTGTTGTTTAAGATGTCTGTATTAGTCTTTGGTCTGACATCTTCCAATTTTTGACCTGAATCTGCAAGAATGGTTTTTTTTTCTCATTAACTTCTTTTCTGTCAATTTTTTGCACCCATCTCTTTCGTAGCCAACTTCTCACCTCTCTCGTTTTTTAAGTCTAGCAATAGATGGCGTTTTAGTTGAAAGCAAACTTTATTTTTTCTATTTATTTTCAGTGATGACTCAACCCCAGGAGCAATAAACGTACCGGAAACCAAATACAATCCGTCTCAACCCCAAGAAAGCCAAATGAAACGGTTTTTAAAATGTCCAGGTAACTGCAGGATCGAAATTTTAAAGAAATTCGTCCAAAACAAGTACAGCGTCGATGTTGGATCATTTCATGTGAGTACATTTTTGAAATTTTTTTTTATGCATGTGTTTACTCTTCTCGTTCTTATTAATTTAAAGATCGAGATTTTATATAAACGAGTTCCACTGCCAAATCATTACACTCTCATCGATATCGCCTACATTTACTCATGGAAAAGGAATGAGCCGATGAAATTTTTCTTTCGCATTCTCGATAAGGTTTTAATCGAGAAGGCCACGAATTGTATTTATTCCGAGCATATTTTTGTAAAACCGCCGAAAAGTCGGAAAAAACTTGGTATTTTAAACGAGTCGGATCAAAACGACGCCAATCGCGTTCGAAATGGCAAAAACGTTTCGGAATCGACCAACAACGATCGAAAAAACGACGAAAATTTTTATCAAAAAATGTGTAAAAAGAGCTTAACTTTAATTAAACTACCTCAAAATACTAATGATGATAAAAATAAGGAACAAAATTTGATTTGTTTCGATGATATCTCGAAAATTGTTGAAACAACGCTAAAAATCGGCGAAGATGCTTTGAAATTCGACAAAAATTCGATCAAAACCAATTCGGTTAAGGTGAAAAAGGAAAAAGATAAAGTTAAGAGTCAAAAATTCAAAAACTTTGAGGTCGAGGAAAACTTTTTTGTCAAAACGATAAAGAACGAGGAGAATAAATTGATTTTCGATCAAATTGATGACGTGGAGAGTCTAAAACTAGTCAAGAATGATAAAAAAAAGGAAATAAATGTCAAAATTGAGCACGATTCGAAAATTATCAAAGAAACCAAAGAGATTAATCTTGATGAATTAAAAGCGAAGGTTAAAAATGAGGTTGAGGAGGAAAATAAAGACCATAATGAGATAAAATTGAATCAGAGTGAGTTAAAATTTGATTTGGGCGAGTCAAAATTGATTCAGGATGAGTCAAAATTGATTCAGGGTGAGTTAAAATCGATTCAGAGTGAGTTAAAAGTTGATCAAAATGAGTTAAAGATTCAAAGTGAGTCAAAAATTGATCAAGGTGAGTTAAAAGTGGTCCAAGATGAGTTAAAATTGATTCAAAATGAGTCTAAAGTTGACCAAAATGAATCAAAAGTGGACCAAAGTGTGGCAGAAAAGATTCCAAGTGAAGCAGAAATGATTCAAAATGAGACAGAAATGATCAAAAATCAAAGTGATCAAAAAGGGACACAAAATGAGTCAAAGGGAGACGAAAAGGTGTCAAAAGTGTTTCAAAAAGAGTCAAAATTGCTTCAAAGTGAGTCAAAAATGTGTCAAAATGAGTCTAAAGTGATTCAAAATGAGTCTAAAGTGATTCAAAATGAATCTAAATTGATTGAGGATGTGTCAAAAATGTGTCAAAATGACTCAAAGTTGATAAAAATGGATAAAGATGAGATTAAAATGAGTCAAAATGATGTCAAAAATAAATTAAAGATTGAAAGTGAGGTAAAAATGGAATCAAATGATGTAAAAATTGATCATTATGATTTTGAGATAGAAGAGATGCGTGAAAAAAATGATTTGGGTTGTTATAAATCAAAAAAAAGTAAAATTGATGAAAAATGTGAATTTTTTAAATCGATTGAGTTGAAACAAATCGTTGATTTGGTGAAAAAGATTGATGAGAAGATGTTAAAAAGTGAGGAGGAGTGTCAAAGTGGTTTAAAGCCAGTTCAAAAACGTAAAAATCCTAGTCCATTAAAAAACGAAGCTGGTTTATCGTTAAAAAGGGTAAAAAGAAAAACACCGCCTCAAAAAATCGTATTAAATTCCCCAAAAAAAGCCAACGATGACTTAAAAGAGATCTTTTCTCATTGCAAATTTAACATTCCGAGTTCTTTATCGATTACGTTAAAAGAAACATCGTTGGAAGACGAGGGAAGGAATTTAAAGTTAGAACCCGTCAAGAATTTTATTGAAATTCTAAAAATCCCCGATCAAAAAGAAAAAAATGAGTTAAAATCGAAATCGGCCCCAAATTTGTGCTCAAAACCGATTTTTCAATCAACCCCAATAAAACGAGCATCAACCGACTTAGTAAATCCGTTTTCAAAAAAGGGGCGATTTGATTTCGAGAAATTCCAAAATTCAACGAATTTAATAAAATTCGAACAAAACGTAGCAAAATTACACTCTCCAAGTTTAAATTTGAATTACACCGTATCGGTGAATCAAAATGTAATGAGACATTTCGGAAAATTAGATCCGAAATTTGAAAGTTTTAAACATAAAAAAGAAAAAAAGATTAAAAATGAATCAAATGAAATCGTTGTAAAAGAAGAAAAAAATGAAATCGTTCAAATTTCACGTCACAAAATCGAATTGGTTAAAAAGAATTCGAAAAGTCCTTCATCGCCGCCTCAATCGATTAAAAAACCTCAACAAATGGTGCCAATTTTGCCGAAACCTTCGATTTTAGATCAAAATTTAGTGACTAATTTAACGACGAACCAATTGATGGAGAAATATAATATACAAAATTTGGCTCAATTAACGGCCAGTTTGCATTTTAATCCGATGTTGAATGTTAATCCGTCACCGGTGGTGTTACAACAGGCGATTTTGAAACAATTCGAGATGCAAAATCGTCAAAATTGGCAATTGGGCCAATTTCAAACGAACAATAAGTACCTGTCCGCTACTAATTTGAATACGAATCGTATCGTTACGAAAGAAAATTAAAAAAAATTTGTTCTTATTAATTATTATTAATTATTATTATTATTATTGAAAAGATCAAAAGGATTACTGATTAAGTAATTATTAAGTATTCTTTTTTTGTGTAATTTATTATCGATTCCCTCCCTTAATTATTTTTGTTTACTCCTACTTCGTTTTTTTTTTTTTGTTTTGTTTTTAATTGAGTTAAAAAAAAACGAAAAAGGACAAAAGAAAAGATATGAAATGAAATCAAGTGTATAAAGCGGTATAGTTAGACGTAAGGGAACAATGTGTACAATATTTTTCCTAAGTTTTTCAATAAAAATTGAAATCACGTTCGAATTCATGTTTCTTTTCCTTTAGATTCTTTAAAATTCATCTTAATCTATCTTATTGTTCCAATTTAACTTCCATCTGCAATGCCAAATAATTAACATCCTTCTCCTCCGGATCCGTTAGCTTCTTTAGTTATGATACTTTCACCACTGGAAACACAAATTTGCAAAAAACAAGGAGTCTTGATTATTATTAGATCATGTCCGAAATAATTTTTTGCTTGGAATCAGAACCCGAGTTCAAAAATTGAAACCATCACGTCAGGATTTGAAGATATTTGAGGTTGTGGACCAGAAAAATGACTTTTTGATTACTTTTGAAGCTATGAAAAGAAAATGGAGTTTTCTGGATAAAAACACCAAGAAAAGGTAGTTCCAGGAAATACATAACCTCAGTTATCTCATAATACTGACGTGATGGTCCAATTCTGAGAGATTATGTCTTTGGCAAAGTCAAATACTCCACCCAATTGGAAAAGATGGTGCTGGTGTATGTTCTAGACAGGACGTCGCGCCTTTATTTCTTTATGTAGACAAAATTAAAGGCGCGACGTCCAGTCTGGAACACGATTGGACGAAACCACCCTCTCCGGCGTGGCTTATTTGGATAGTAAGTTTCATATTTTCGTGTTTTTCTCCATATTGACGCATTTAAGAGCGAAAGTGAAAGAGAGCAATATTGCTAAGAATAATATTAGCTACAACTTTTGTTCTAAAAGTTTTTTCATAGCATGCTGCGTTTCTCGATTGTTACCATCAACCACTTTAAACGGCGAAATTCATCAAATTTTCATATTTTCTTATTTTTCTCGATATTAACACATCTGAAAGCAAAAGTACAAGAGAGCGATATTGTTAAGAATAAAATTTGCTACAACTTTTGTTCTAAAAGTTTTTTTATAGCATGCTCCGATTTCCAAGTGTTACCATTAACTACTTAAAATAGCGAAATTCATCAAATTTTCATGTCTTCGTGCTTTTCTCGATATCTATGCATCTGAGAGCAAAAGTGCAAGAGACCAATATTGTTAAGAATAAAATTTGCTACAACTTTTGTTCTAAAAGTTTTTTTATAGCATGCTTTGATTCCCGAGTGTTACCATTACCTACTTAAAACAACGGAATTCATCAAATTTTCGTATTTTTCTCGATATCTATGCATCTGACAACAAAACTGTAAGGTATTGTTTAGAATATAATTTGGTACATCTTTTGCTCTAAAAGTTTTTTTATAACCGAAGTGTTACCATTAGCTACCGCTCGATCAGCCAATAGTCTGTCCATCGATATATTTGCTTATTAATCCATCAGCTCGTTTAAAAAATTGATCTTAGCTGCTGTTGAGAGCATGCTGTATCATTGTTAATATTACAATCAGCAATTCCTTATTGGTGTTATTGTTTACTTGTTTATAGAATGTTTTCTTAATTTCAATCTGAATATTTGATCGTTTATTTTACTTATCTTATTTTTTTTACTACTGCTCACTGCTGATGTTATTTTGTGTCTTTATTATTTTGTTTTGTCCTTATTCTTGTCAGTGACACAGCTTTTATTGGGTTCGTCCTGTGCTGTGTCCTATTTACATAAATAAATAAGTGAATAAAAAAACTACGAAATTCATCAAATTTTCATATTTTCGTGCTTTTTTCGATATTGACGCATCTGAGAGCAAAAGTGCAAGAGACCAATATTGTTAAGAATGAAATTTGATACAACTTTTGTTCTAAAAGTTTTTTTATAACATGCTCCGATTCCGGAATCTTACCATTACCTATTTAAAACAACAAAATTCATCAAATTTTCATGTTTTTGTGCTTTTCTCGATATCTATGCATTTGAGAGCAAAAGTGCAAGAGACCAATATTGTTCAGAATAAAATTTGCTACAACTTTTGTTCTAAAAGTTTTTTTATAGCATGCTCCGATTCTGGATTGTTACCATTACCTAGTTAAAACAACGAAATTCATCAAATTTTCATGTTTTCGTGCTTTTCTCGATATCTATGCATCTGAGAGCAAAAGTGCAAGAGAACAATATTGTTAACAAAGCAATTTGCCACAACTTTTATTCTAAAAGTTTTTTTATAGCATCCTTCGATTCCGAAATGATACCATTACCTACATAAAACAACGAAATTCATCAAATATTCATATTTTCCTATTTTTCTCGATATCTATGCATCTCAGAATAAAAGTGCAAGAGAGCAATATTACTAAGAATAATATTAGCTACAACTTTTGTTTTAAAAGTTTTTTCATAGCATGCTCCGATTTCCGATTGTTACCATCAACTACTTAAAACAGCGGAATTCGTCAAATTTTCATGTTTTCGTGCTTTTCTCGATATCTATGCATCTGAGAGCAAAAGTGCAAGGGAACAATATTGTTAAGAACAAAATTAGCTACAACTTTCATACCAAAAGTTTTTTTATAGCATGCTCCGATTCCAGATTGTTACCATTATCTACTTAAAACAACGAAAATCATAAAATTTTCATATTTTCATATTTTTCTCGATTTTGACACATCAGAGAGCAAAAGTGAAACAGAGCAATATTGTTAATAATAAAATTTGCTACAACTTTCGTTCTAAACATTTTTTTGCAAAATGCTCCGATTCCCGAGTATTACCATACAGACAAAATCCCTCATTCCGCGTGTATTTAGGGATTCCAACACAGATTGTGAGAAGGTATTCGGACAAAGATGACTCTATTAGAATTTGGATTCGTCCTCCGGGGTCATATATAACGTATTTATGAGACTCTTGTAGAAACAGAAGAAGATCTGATGGCACCAGAACTTTCTGTCATCGTTTCTGCCATCATCTGTTGGTTTATGTCTTTGCTCAATTAAATCAATTCTCCCAAATGTCTAATAAAAAATCCCATTTTCTTCAATTTCTTCTCCACCACTTAGAATCGGCACAACATAATTCTTAACGCATAAATTTTTCCATTTTAGACATTATTTTCATGTTATTTAAAACTTTGCTAAATCCCTAGAAAATCTAATTGCTCTCTATAAGTCTTTAGAAAGAAGCAATCCATTATCTATTCCCTCAAAGTTCTTATTTTGGGAGATAACTCCGATTTTGCATTCCAATTAAACGATTTTCCTTAATTTTCTACGTTTTAGAAAGTGAATTAATCACAATTAAAATTAAAAAAAAAATTTTATCATAATTAGAGAGAGCGAGAAAAGAGGGTGCAAAAAAAAAATATAGAAGAGGAATAGAGTAGGCGATGATTCACCGACGGCGCAATTATATAAACTCCCGAATACAGCCGATTCTCCCCGATCCCATCGAGGATAATGACCAACTGCGGCGTTGCCGTCGTTTCTGCCTCCTCTTCTTCTTCGCTCTCTCAATCGCGCCGTCTCTTTCTACGACGCTCCGGTTTTATTTCTTTGTTATTTCCCATAAAATAAATAAAAAAATATTTTTGAAAATCAAAAATATTAAACGATTAAAACCCAAAAAACAAAAAAATTTCGAAAATTTAACCTCAAATTTGTTTCGGGATCGTTTTATACTAATTTTATTGATATCTCGATTTCTAATTGGCGGATTTAAATCAATTCTTGGTTACATAACCTCCTTTTGGTAACGAATCGAAATTTGAAGGCGCCGTTTCGATATTGTTTGTAGTTTTTGAGATAAATGAGGTTAGTTTTTGGTGGGAAATTTCCGTTTTTATTTCGTGAGGTGAAGGCGTGGTTTGTGTGTTAGGCGTGGTTACAATTTCGAAAGGGGTGGGACGCTTTTGGTGGATCACCAATGGTGAGTGGATTAAGGCGGGGATTTTTAACCCTCCTACGTGGGAAGAAGGCGGGGTTTTTAAGCAAAAAAGATTATTTTTTATTAATTTTAATTAATTATTAATAACTTTATTTAATTAAAAAAAATTTATTTTAATTTTAAAAATGATAAAAAAATTGGGATTATTAAAAAGTTAATAATTTTGTGATGAGTTGATGACCTTTTAAGCAGCGCCATCTCTTGGGTTAATTTTGATACAAAAAATCATTAACAAATTGATTTTAATATCTAAATTATTGTTTAATTTATTTAATAACAACTTAATTAAATCATTTTTTTTTAAATATTTTATTATAACGAATTAATTTTGTTGCAAATTATAAAAAAATTGTTTTAAATATAAAAGCAGTTAATCCAACGATTTTTAGATGGCGCTCAATCACAACAAATTATTTTTTTTTTAATTTCGATTTAAATAATTAATTTAAACAATTTAGTGTTAAAAACGCAAAAAATTATTTATAATGTTCAAAAATTGATTTATTTAGAGGATAATAAAAAGAATGTAAGTATAAATTTAATTATTATGAAAGAACACAACCTCACTTTAATTTTTTAGTATAAATTATTGTTAGATTGTATCATTTTGGTTAGAAGAGGATGTAAAGGTAAGATTAAAACAATTTAATTAAGATAATTTAATGTTTTGAATCCAAAGAAATAAATCATAAATAAAATTGAGGTTAATGTTGAGCGCCATCTATTGATCATTCGCTTAACTACGAAAAAAATATTAATTTTAAAGTAAAAAATATTATTTTTTCGTAAAATTCGCCTTTTTTATTAAGATTTGCTTTAATTAATTAATAAATTCATTATTTATTAATGTTTAATGATAATAACCCATAAAATTTTGCGTGATTCAATTCGTCTCCATGACATTTGATACAAACAAACAACATAACCTCTAAAGCGAGAACTTATAAACTAAGTTATTAATTAATTTAAGCAAAATAAAACGGAATTATGATGGAAATTGAAGAAAAATGGGTTGATGAATCATTGTTGGAGTTGATTAAAACGAAATCGCAAGGTAAAATGAAATTGTTATGGAAAAAATTCTTGTTGATGGTAATGTTATTAATTCGGTTAATTAGATTTTGAGTTTAATAATAATTGTTGTAGGTGTTATTAATGATTTAATGATGGAAGAATAGGATACATTTCCAAGGTTTAATAATGGAACAACATCGGAACAGTTTCTTTGAATCCGGTAGCATAAATTTTTGATAAATTTCATTCTAAAATAGAAAAGGATATAAAGGTAAGATAAAAATAACTTAATTAAGATAAATTAATCTTTTTTATTCTTTGAATTCAAAGAAATAAATCAAAAATAAAATAATTAAGTAAAATTGAGGTTGGAGTTGAGCGCCATCTATTAATCATTGGATTAACTACGAAAGTAATGTTATTAATAATAAAGTAAAAATATCATTTTTTCGTTAAATTTTTGCTATTTTCATTAAAACTTGCTTTAACAAATTAATAAATTCATTATTTATTAATAGTTAATAATAATAACCGAAGAAATTTTGCGTTATTAAATTCGTCTCCATGACATTTGAATCATTTGATACAAACAAACAACATAACCTCCAAACAAAAAATTTATAAACTAAGTTATTAATTAATTTAAGCAAAATAAAACGAAATTATGATGGAAATTGAAGAAAAATGGGTTGATGAATTATTCTTGGAGTTGATTAAAACGAAATCGCAAGGTAAAATGAAATTGTTGTGGAAAAAGCTTTAGTTCTTGTTGAAGGTAATGTTATTAATTCGGTTAATTACATTTTGAATTTAATAATCATTGTTGTAGATGTAGTTAATAATTTAGTGGTGGAAAAAAATAGGATATATCATTTCCAATGTTTAATAATGGAATAATATTGTAAGTGTTTCTCTGAATCCTGAATTTCATTTTAAAATAGAAAAGGATATAAAGGTAAGATAAAAATAACTTAATTAAGATAATTTAATCTTTTAATTCTTTGAGTTCAAAGAAATAAATTAAAAATAAAATAATTAAGTAAAATTGAGGTTAAAGTTGAGCGCCATCTATTGATCATTGGGTTAATTAGGAAAGATATTAATTTTTTAAGTAAAAAATATTATTTTTTTCATAACATTTGCTTTTTTCATTAAAATTTGCCGTAATTATTTAATAAATTATTTATTTATTAATGTTTAGTGAAGATACTCAAAAAAATTTTGCGATATTAAATTTTCATCTCCATGACATTTGAATCATTACAAACAAATAACATAACCTCCAAAATGAAAATTTATTTAGGAAATTTGTTAAGGAAATTAAAGAAGAATGGTTATATTTATATTTATAATTTAATTATATTTTTAATTTTATAATAATTGTTGTAGATGTGATTAATAATTGAATGATGGAAAAAAGCAGGATGTCTCATTTCTGAGGTTGAGATGAAAATGATGAAATCTTTTTGATAATGCAATTGAAGACTTTATTATTAAACTTTTGTTTATAACTCATTAAATTCATCCATAATGGTAACTAAAGAATCCATGGTTTCTTCACCACTTGGAATGATTTGATCTGCAGGAAGGAGGAAACCAAATCTCCCAGTGTCTCGTAATTCATAAGTGTAAGTAATTCTTGTTCTAAAAACGCCTTTAACCCAATCCATACTTCCTGCAGTGGCTATATCTAAGAAAAAAACAACAATCAGATTAAATCAAAAAGTATATTTGACTTGCAAATTGTTGAAGCTACATTTCCAATTTTATATTACAACTCTAAGTTTGTTGTTAAATGTTTCTTTTATATAAAGCGATAAGGTACAGTATAAGGTTTTTTTTGAAACAATTTCATACTAATTTCTACTTGTTATTTATAAATTTTAAACATTTTATTTTCTTATTCGCAACATTTAATATTAATTAAATGAGAGCCATCTATGAATGATTGAATTAACTAAAAAAGTAGATTCCTTTTTTATCACTTCCATAAAACAACATAACCTACAAAATATTTTTTAAAAAATACTAAGTTTTAAACTAAAATGAAACAAATTTGTGGGGAAATAATAAATAAGTTTATTTTAATTATGCAAAACAAATATTTTCTGTACAAGGTGAGATCATAAACGTTCTTATTTAATGTGCTAATATTATAATTATTTACAGATTAACAATGATGCTGCTCTTTCTGATGATATTGTTTGGCCTGATTTTGAGACTTTATTGTAAAGGTAAGGTTAATTATTTAATCTCAATTTGTATCCTAACAATTTTGAAAGATAAAAACTGAATTGCAACTTTTTAAAATCGTACTTGGAGTGATTTGGTTTCTAATTTCACCAAAATCTAATCGTTGCTAATATAAGGGTTATAACATGGAGCTTTTGAACATAGAAATTAATTAATAATAAATAATTAAGAAAGAATTTTATAATTTATAATACTTTTTGACAGCTCTTGTTTGACATATAAAATTAATTTAATTTAAGATAGAAGAGGATATAAAGATAAGATAAAAATAACTTAATTAAGACAATTTAATCTTTTTTATTCTTTGAAATCAAAGAAATAAATCAAAAATAAAATAATTAAATAAAATTGAGGTTGGAGTTGAGCGCCATCTATTAATCATTGGATTAACTACCAATTTAGTTTTTAATTTAATAATATTATAAAGTAAAAATGTTATTTTTTCGTGAAATTTTTACCTTTTACATTAAGATTTGCTTTAACAAATTAACGAATTCATTATTTATTAACGTTTAATGAAAATAACTCATAAAATTTGCGTGATTCAATTCGTCTCCATGACATTTGATACAAACAAACAACATAACCTCAAAAACGAAAATTATTAACTAAATTAAATTATTAATTGATTTAAGCTAAATAAACCGGAATTATGATGGAAATTGAAAAAGAATGGGTTGATGAATCATTGTTGGAGTTGATTAAAACGAAATCGCGAGGTAAAATGAAATTGTTGTGGAAAAAGCTTTAGTTCTTGTTGAAGGTAATGTTATTAATTCGGTTAATTAGATTTTGAATTTAATAATCATTGTTGTAGGTGTGATTAATAATTTAATGAAGGAAAAATAGGATAAATCATTTTCGAGGTTTATTAATGAATAGTATCGGAAGGATTTCTACGAATTCTGTGGGATAAATTTCATTTTAAAATAGAAATGGATATAAAGGTAAGATAAAAACAACTTAATTAAGTTAATTTAATCTTTTTAATTCTTTGAATTCAAAGAAATAAATCAAATATAAAGTAATTAAATAAAATTGAGGTTGGAGTTGAGCGCCATCTATTAATCATTGGATTAACTACCAAATTAGTTTTTAATTTAATAATATAAAGTAAAAATGTTATTTTTTCGTAAATTTTTTTCCTTTTGCATTAAGATTTGCTTTAAGAAATTCATTATTTATTAATATTTAACAATAATAAATTAAAGAATTTGGTTTCCATGACATTTGAATCCTTTAATACAAACAAACAACATAACCTCCAAACGAAAATGACATTAATTTAATTTACTAAGTTATTAATTGATTTTAGCAAAATAAAACAGAATTATATTGAAAATTAAAGAAGATCTTGTTGAAGGTAATGTTCTTAATCTGATTAATTAGATTTTTAATTTTATAATAATTATTGTAGATGTGGTTAATAATTTATAAGATTTTGGATGAAAGCAATTCAAGACTTTATTATTAAACTTTTTTACAACCGATTAAATTCGTCCATGATGGTTACTAAAGAATCCATGGTTTCTTCACCACTTGGAATGATTTGATCAGCCGGAAGGAGGAATCCGTGTCTTCCAGTGTCTCGTAATTCATAAGTGTAAGTAATTCTTGTTCTAAAAACGCCTTTAACCCAATCCATACTTCCCCCAGTGGCTATATCTAAAAAAAACCAACAATCGAATGAAACCAAACAAAATTAAAACTTACAAATTGTTGCAGCTACATTTCCAACTCTAAATTGAGTCCCATAACGTCTTGCTAAACTACGAGCAGCTGCTTCACCCACAGCTTGCTAAAATTAATCAAATTAAAATGTATTTAGGTTATTTAAAAAAAAAATTACAAGTTCTGCTGCGTTATCTAAATTTTCTCTTGTATGTCCATAGGGGTAAAGCAATAATTGCGTGAATGAATGGAAAGTAATGTATGCAATTAATTTTGAGTTAATGCTTTTAATGTATTCAGACATGGATTTCGTTTCTGGCTCAGAGAATGGGCGCGGTCCAGCGAAAGTATCCATACAAGGGAAGTTACTAGCTCCTCCAGTGTTCCATCTATAATCCCAATTCCGATTTGGATCAGCTCCTGTACAAATTCCGTAAGGAACTCGAGTTTTCCTCCACATACGATTCTTAAAAAAACATTAAAAATATATAGTGTTAAGTATGCAACCAATATTACATGATTGTTATGCAACCAAATATACACGATTTGCATATTTGGTTGCATACTTGAAATGATTAATTTTTATTTTGATCTTACTCTTGTATGGGACCATTCGTAACCATCTGGATTGAAAATTGGGAAAATGTACCAATCGTATCTTTCCGCCATCGCTCTCACAGTACTATCAGTGCTTGTTAATAGTTCATTAATGATGAAAGTTACAACAGCCGGAGAAATCCATTCTCTGGCGTGAATTCCCCCTTCGAGAAAAACGGCGTTGTTTTCGTTATTTCTCGAAAAAGAAATATGTAACCCCCTGATTTCGCGATTTTCATGGGATCTCCCCCCAACGACTACACGAACCCACGACGGGAAACGCCTCGCCATATCATCCATCCAATTATAAATGTCGTTAGTTCTGTAATAACTTGTCCATCCAAAAGCGCGCGGTTGCACTTTTGGTTTTTCATTGTCGATTAATTTTTGTACGTCTTCGATGTATTCTTCAGCATCGATTTTGTTGGTGTTGAGGAAATCTTCGAAATCGTACTTTAGAAATGGGGGGACCATTATTTCAACGCTTCTATTAACCGCAGCTGGGCTCCTCCAGAAATTAAACGACGGTAAAGTTTCTTCTAAAAGTCTCAAAGTGTCAACTTGTTGCTCGCTTTGAGGGATTATTTTAAAAACTTTAAATCCATCGTAACGAACCGGTTCGGCTAAAAAACCGGGTACAAAAAGTATGAGAAATAATAATTCTTTCATTTTATTCTGAAAGTAGAACTAAGAATTAATTTGTTTTGTCATGGGTATTTATATGGTTCTTGTAACGATGATTCTTTGTTAATCTGATTGTTTGAGTGTTATTATTATTATTATCTTTGACAGGTTTAATGAGTTAAATCGTTTAAATCTGATTTTTATATAATAACTCGTTATTGTTTAAGAACGTTATCAGATTTTTGGAATTATTTCGGGGAGATTCAAATCTTACCTTATTATTTTCGATAATTTATTTAATATGTTATAAGAAGTTTGTTGTAAAACTTTCTTTTATATGTATAAAGCGATTAGTTTTAAAATATGTATTTGAGTTATCACAAAATGATTTTTTTGAAACAAATTCATACTAATTTTATTACTTTACTTGTTATCTATAAGATTTAAACATTTTATTTTCTTATTTATTTATTTTTAACTAATAAATTTATTATTAGTTTAGTACATTTTAAATGAGAGCCATCTATGTTTGACCGAATTAACTGAGAAAGTAGATTCCTTTTTTTTAATGTCATAAAATAACCTATAAAATAAAAATAGTATAAACGTTATTTAAACTAAAATGAAACAAATTCAGTTCATTTTAATTATCAACTTAAGACATATTTAATTATGGCTTATTTAATGTGCTATTATTATAATTATTTACAGCATAAGGATGATGTTGGTCTTTCTGATGATATTTTGGCTTAGTTTGGCTTGATTTTGAGATAAATGGGTTGATTTAAAATCCTTTCATAGAATAAAATAATTTTGTTAAAACTAATTTCACCAAAATCTAATCGTTATTTTTTTATTTATAACATTTTTTTTGTATTTTTATTAATGACGTTTCAAATGAGAGCCATCTATGAATGACTGAATTAACTAAATAACTAAAAAAAAGTAGATTCCTTTTTTTTAATCGCTCACAGAAAATAACATAACCTACAAAATAAAAATATTAATGTTATTTAAAGCAAAATGAAACAAATTCAGTTCATTTTAATTATCTACTTAAGAAATATTTTTAATTATGCCTTATTTAATGTGCTATTATTATAATTATTTACAGAATAAGGATGATGTTGGTCTTTTTGATGATATTTTGGTTTAGTTTGGTTTGATTTTGAGATAAATGGGTTGATTTAAAATGCTTTCATAGAATAAAATAATTTTGTTAAAACTAATTTCACCAAAATCTAATCGTTATTTTTTTATTTATAACATTTATTTTTGTATTTTTATTAATTAATGATATTTCAAATGAAAGCCATCTATGAATGACTAAATGAACTAAATAACTAAAAAAGGTAGATTCCTTTTTTTTTAATCGCTCACAGAAAATAACATAACCTACAAAATAAAAACATTAATCTAAATGTTATTTAAAGCAAAATGAAACAAATTCGTGTGGAAATAATAAATAAATTTATTTTAATTATGCCATACAAATATTTTCTGTACAAGGTAAGATCAAACGACCTTATTTAATGTCACATTAAAATTATTTACAGAATAAGGAGGATGCTACTCTTTCTGATGATACCATTGCTGTTTGGCTTGATTTTAAGATAAATGGGTTGATTTAAAATTCAAATATGACTTAATTGTAAAGGTAAGGTTAATTATTTAATCTCAATTTGTATCATAACCATCTCGGAAGATAAAAACTAAGTCGAAACTTCTTAAAAGTGTGCTTGTATTAATTGTAATGGGCTGATTTGGTTTCTAATTGCATCTCATGCTTTCTTAGAATGAAATAATTCTTGTTAAAACTAATTTTACCGAAATCTAATGGTTATTTTTTTTATTTATAACATTTATTTTTATTAATGACATTTCAAATGAAAGCCATCTATGAATGACTGAATTAACTAAAAAAAGTAGATTTCCTTTTTTTAATCGTCCACAGAAAACAACATAACCTACAAAATAAAAACGTTAATATTAATGTTATTTAAATCAAAATGAAACAAATTCGTAGGGAAATAATAAATAAATTTATTTTAATTATACCATACAAATATTTTCTGTACAAGGTAAGATCAAACGACCTTATTTAATGTGCTAATATTATAATTATTTACAGAATAAGGAGGATGCTACTTTTTCTGATGATACCATCGCTGTTTAGCCTGATTTTGAGACAAATGGGTTAATTTAAAACTCGAATATGACTATTTAATTTTAATTTGTATTGTAACCATCTCGGAAGATAAAAACTAAATCCAAACTTCTTAAAACTTTGGTTGTATTAATCATAATGGGATGATTTAGTTTCTAATTGTCTCTCATGCTTTCTTAGAATGAAATAATTCTTGTTAAAACTAATTTTACCGAAATCTAATGGTTATTTTTTTATTTATAACATTTTTTTTGTGTTTTTATTAATGAGATTTCAAATGAAAGCCATCTATGAATGACTGAATTAACTAAAAAAAAGTAGATTCCTTTTTTTTAATCGCTCACAGAAAACAACATAACCTTCAAAATAAAAACATTAATATAAATGTTATTTAAATTAATTTGTGGGGAAATAATAAATAAATTTATTTTAATTATGCCATACAAATATTTTCTGTACAAGGTAAGATCAAACGACCTTATTTAATGTGCTAATATTATAATTATTTACAGAATAAGGATTATGCTACTCTTTCTGATGATACCATCGCTGTTTGGCTTGATTTTGAGACAAATGGGTTGATTTAAAACTCAAATATCAGTTTATTGTTAAGGTAAGGTTAATTATTTAATTTCAATTTGTATCGTAACCATCTCGGAAGATAAAAACTAAATCGAAACTTCTTAAAACCTTGGTTGTATTAATCGTAATGGGTTGATTTAGTTTCTAATTGCCTCTCATGCTTTCTTAGAATGAAATAATTCTTGTTAAAACTAATTTTACCGAAATCTAATGGTTATTTTTTTATTTATAACATTTATTTTTATTAATGACATTTCAAATGAAAGCCATCTATGAATGACTGAATTAACTAAAAAAAGTAGATTCCTTTTTTTTAATCGTCCACAGAAAACAACATAACCTACAAAATAAAAAGGTTAATATTAATGTTATTTAAATCAAAATGAAACAAATTCGTAGGGAAATAATAAATAAATTTATTTTAATTATACCATACAAATATTTTCTGTACAAGGGAAGATCAAACGACCTTATTTAATGTGCTAATATTATAATTATTTACAGAGTAAGAATGATGCTGCTCTTTCTGATGATACCATCACTATTTGGCTTGATTTTGAGACAAATGGGTTAATTTAAAACTCGAATATGACTTTATTGTTAAGGTAAGGTTAATTATTTAATTTTAATTTGTATTGTAACCATCTCGGAAGATAAAAACTAAATCGAAACTTCTTAAAACCTTGGTTGTATTAATCGTAATGGGTTGATTTAGTTTCTAATTGCCTCTCATGCTTTCTTAGAATGAAATAATTCTTGTTAAAACTAATTTTACCGAAATCTAATGGTTATTTTTTTATTTATAACATTTATTTTTATTAATGACATTTCAAATGAAAGCCATCTATGAATGACTGAATTAACTAAAAAAAGTAGATTCCTTTTTTTTAATCGTCCACAGAAAACAACATAACCTACAAAATAAAAAGGTTAATATTAATGTTATTTAAATCAAAATGAAACAAATTCGTAGGGAAATAATAAATAAATTTATTTTAATTATACCATACAAATATTTTCTGTACAAGGGAAGATCAAACGACCTTATTTAATGTGCTAATATTATAATTATTTACAGAGTAAGAATGATGCTGCTCTTTCTGATGATACCATCACTATTTGGCTTGATTTTGAGACAAATGGGTTAATTTAAAACTCGAATATGACTTTATTGTTAAGGTAAGGTTAATTATTTAATTTCAATTTGTATCGTAACCATCTCGGAAGATAAAAACTAAATCGAAACTTTTTAAAACCTTGGTTGTATTAATCGTAATGGGTTGATTTAGTTTCTAATTGCCTCTCATGCTTTCTTAGAATGAAATAATTCTTGCTAAAACTAATTTCACTAAGATCTAATTGTTATTTTCTTATTTATAACATTTTTTTGTATTTTTGTTAATGACATTTCAAATGAGAGCCATCTATGAATGATTTAATTAATTAAAAAGAGTAGATTCCTTTTTTTCAATCGCCCACAGAAAACAACATAACCTACAAAATAAATCATTAATATAAATGTTATTTAAACAAATTTGTGGGGAAATAATAAATAAATTTATTTTAATTATGCCATACAAATATTTTCTGTACAAGGTAAGATCAAACGACCTTATTTAATGTGTAATATTATAATTATTTACAGAATAAGGATTATGCTACTCTTTCTGATGATACCATCGCTGTTTGGCTTGATTTTGAGACAAATGGGTTGATTTAAACTCAAATGTGAGTTTATTGTTAAGGTAAGGTTAATTATTTAATTTCAATTTGTATCGTAATAATTCGTATTAATCATAATGGCATGATTTGGTTTCTAATTGCCTCTCATGCTTTTCTAGAATGAAATAATTCTTATTAAAACTAATTTCATCGAAATCTAATGGTTATTTTATTGTTTATAATGGTTTATAACATTTATTTTTATTAATTAATGACGTTTCTAATGAAAGCCATCTATGAGTGATTGAATTAACTAAAAAAAGTAGATTCCTTTTTTGTAATCGCCCACAGAAAACGACATAACCTACAAAATAAAAACTTTTTAATATAAAATTTATTTAAATCAAAATGAAACAAATTTAGTTTATTTTAATTATGCAATAAAAATATTTTCTTGATTTAAAACTCAAATATGAGTTTATTGTTAGGTTAATTATTTAATTTTAATTTGTATCGTAACCATCTCGGAAGATAAAAACTAAATTGAAACTTGATGATTTGGTTTCGAACTGCCTCTCATTCTTTGTTAGAATGAAATAATTCTTGTTAAAACTAATTTCACTAAAATCTAATGGTTATTTATTAATTTATAACATTAATTTTTGTATTTTTATTTAATTAATGACGTTTCAAATGAAAGCCATCTATGAATGATTGAATTAACTAAAAAAAAAAGTAGATTCCTTTTTTTTAATCGCCCACAGAAAACGACATAACCTACAAAATAAAAACTTTTTAATATAAAATTATTTAAATCAAAATGAAACAAATTTTTTGAAAAAAAATAATTACCAAAGTGTTATAGTTTATAATAATCGTCCAAATCGTCCTTGATAATATCCCATAACGTGTTTGGAATACATCCGACTTAAGTGTAAAGTATTTCGTTGTCGATTACAAACTTATTAGATTGATAATTTGGATTTAAACAACCTTTCGAGGCTTTAACTAATTTGTTTTGTTAAAAATCAGCTTAAATTTCAATTATATTCCAAATATTACTTTTTGACAGTTCCTAAAACATAACCTATAAGATTAATTTATTTTAAAAATTACAATAAATTACCTGCAATTTATTATAAATGTTTATGAGTTAAACACTTTGATATCGTAGACTCGAATTCTTTTTCTCAATGAAGTGTTTTCTTCGAATAACTTCATCAAATTATGAGTAACCTTAAAAAAAGTTATTTAATTTTATTTTAACTTACTTAAAAAGTTCTTACTAATCTCTCATTGTATTAATAATATCATTTTTATGATGTGTTATTAAATAATCCGTATATTTTTCTATTTTTTAATGCAAAATTAACCATATCAACATAACCTTAATTTCTTTTTTTAATACCAACCCAAACATTACAAAATTCCCTATTTTTTATCAAATTTTTTAAGGAAACAAAAAATTCTTTATTAATTTTATAAATAAAATTGTTTTTAAATCCATTTTAATCATTACTTTGCTTTGTAATGATAATTAACGCAAAAAAAAATGATTTAATTAATTAATATTTATTATTAATTAATTTATTTTTAGTGGCATCAAGGGGCAATTTTCACCGCTTATAAGGAATGAGAAGATTCAAGACAACTCAAAAATGGTGATCATATCTCAATTTAAAACATTTAAAGGCAATTAAAAATAAATAATAGAAGATAATAAACAATATAAGCTGTCTTAAATCCACTAAAAGTGATTGAATGTGAGATTCTTAACCCTTCATCAATCATAAAATTTATTTTTGCATACATATTTCTTACAAGTTACTTTGTTATATTTTTAAAGAATTGTTATAATTAATAAAGAAACGCAAAAATATAAATTTAAAGTTGTGTTTTATTCTCCACCAAACCGTTTTTAATTTAAAGTGGCGACTCGAAAGTTTAAATTTCAATTAATTTTTATATTTTGAAGTGGGTCAATATTAATTAGAGGTCATTAAAGGTCCAAAATTTTAAATTTTATCTTGTTGAAGGTGAATTAGAGGTCGTTCAAGGTGAGTTCAAGGAGACATCCTAAAATTTTCGGACTAAATTTCAATTTTAAGTAGGTCAAGGTCTTGACCTACTTAAAAGATACATCAAGGAGACGAAAAATGCTCGATTTTAAGTAGGTCAAGACCTTGACCTACTTAAAATTGAAATTTTGTTTGAAAATTTTAGGATGTCTCCTTGAACTCACCTTGAACGACCTCTAAGTCACCTTCAAGATGATAAAATTGAAAATTTTGGTCGAAAATTTTAGAATGTCTCCTTAAACTTACCTTCAATGACCTTGACCTCGATTTTAAGTAGGTCAAAACCTTGTTTTTTTTTGTAAATTGTAATATTTGATATATTTATTGTTAATTTAAAAAAAAAAAATTCATCGTAGCGCCATCTTTTGGGAAATAGGAGAACTAAATTAACGTTAAATTCCATAAAATTGTTTATTATTATTTTTAAAACAATAATTTAAAAGAAACAATCTCAAAATGTTAAATATTTTTTTAATAAAAATAAAATTAATTTTTTTAAGCCGATAAAGTAGATTACTAACTAATATTTTAGTTTCAATAATAATTTAATAACAACAAATTATTTTCTACACTAAATTTAATAACTAAATTTAAAACAAATCATTTTCTTTATAACCATTCTTTTATACATTATTTTTTGATCGTTTTAGTACCGCCCTAAAAAGTGAGGTTATGCGAAAGGTTATAAAAGGGTTTGATGTACCACAAGGCTCGGTCTTTGGTCCTCTCTTATTTGCTCTGTATACTGCTGATATTCATACTGTTTATAACATTGTAAAATACATTTGCCACAAAAGCATTTTCCCCCATTGGATGTGGAAAAGGATACTTAATGAGGACACACGGGCTTTGTCTAACCTATGTATAGAGCATAATTTGAATCTTAACCCTTAAAAGTTGTTGTTAGCAGAATAGGCATGGGCTGAATAAAGAATTAAGAACACATCTTTGTGATACCTTAATTGCATGAATTATTGCGACATGGTGTATGCTCCTAATCTTACAAGGGTGACTGCCTGCCGGATACAGAAACTTCAAAATTGTTGTTTAAGGATGATCCATAGCAAAAGGAAATATATCACATACTTTGATGGACAGCGGTTGGTTAAATATGCAACAGAGACGTAAGTTGCACCATGCTTCATTGTACTTCAAAGTAATTAACTATAAGTATCCACCTCATCTGGCTAAGAAACTAAATGAACAGATGTTAACAATGTGAATATTCGACGGAAACACGTTTTAACAATTCCAAGACATGCTTCCTGAAGGTCTTTCTCCTATTTGATTGCCAAGACTTGTAATAATACACCCATTATCACTAGTACTAGATCTTTCAATTTATTTAAAAGATATTTTAAACATCAACTTTTCACTGATTTGTGCTAATGTCCTTGCTCTTGTTATTATTATTATGGTTATTGCTGCTTTTCTTTTTTTGGTTTATTAGTAATTTGGTATTTGTATTTAACTCTCTCGAAATAGGGATTAAGTGGAAGAGCAGACGTTCGTACTTCGTCCCTTGAAAATCAATATTAAATTTTATTTTCTATTATGTTGTATTGTTAAATTGTACCTTGTTGGTTTTCAATGAAGGCATATTATTATTATGTAAGTAATTTTTCACAATTAAGTGTTTTCTTCCTATAAATTTATAAAATTATGTATAACCTTAAAAAAAATATTTAATTTTATTTTGACTTACTTAATATTTATTAGGAAGTGTTTATCGCTTTCTTCATCTCTTATTTGCATTAATGTTTATATAATGTGTTATTAAATAATCCGCACATTTTTCTATTTTTTAATGCAAAATTAACCATATCAACATAACCTTAATTTCCTTTTTTTAATACCAACCCAAACATTACAAAAATCCCTATTTTTTATCAAATTTTTTAACGAAACAAAAAATTCTTTGTTAATTTTATAAATAAATAAATTTTTAAACCTATTTTAATCATTATTTTGCTTTATAATGATAATTAACACAAAAAAAAATTATTTAATTGATTAATTCAAATTTTTAGGGATTTAATTTTAATTCAATACCAACGTAAGCATTGCAAGGTAGTCTTCATCATTTTTTTCAACTTTTTTTTTGCACTTTTCGAAAGAGCAGCATCGTCGGTCCTCTGTAAATAATTATAATATTAGCACATTAAATAAGGTTGTTTATGATCTTGGCATAAATAAAATAAATTTATTTATTATTTCCTTATTTTGTAGGTTATGTTATTCTATGACATAAAAAATAGGAATCCACTTTCTTAGTTAATTCGGTTATACACAGATGGAGATACACAGACAGATAAATTAAAAATTATAATAAATTACCTGCAATTTATAACAACGATTCTAAATGTTTATGAGATAAACATTTTGATATCGCAGACTCGAATTCTTTTTCTCGATGAATTATTTTCTTCGAATAACTTCATCAAATTATTTATAACCTTAAAAAAAAGTTATTTCATTTTATTTTAACTTACTTAATATTTATCGTTTTCTGAATCTCTTATTATGTTAACTGGAAATTATTTCGACGGAAATTCCTGGGTTGTACGATACTTCGGGGGATAAATTATATGAAAGTTACTTTGGTCACTGTCATTAACTGTCATTAATTGACAAGAATAAGGTCAATTGACTGAATTAAGTAAAAAATAAAAAATCCCTTATTTAGCGACATTTCAATTAATGTTTATAAATGTCAATAGATGGCGTTACCTCCTACTTTTTCATTAATTTTTTTGACGTTTCATTAAAAAAAAATATTTAACTCATTTTGCGTTAGAAATAAAACAAAAAATTAGAAATTTTCGTCAAAACCTAAAAATTTCTAGTTTTAATTTTATTTCTCATTCCATCGGCAGAAAAGTCTACGAAAATGTTGCGAGTAAAATAATTTTTTGTTTCAAAGTTTTCAATCCTGCCGTTACCATGGTGATTTATCAATAAGCACCGACATCTTTAAATAAAAACAACTTGTTGCGTCAAGAGAAAGTTTTATAATAATTAACGCGATTATATTAAACAATTTGCGCATTAAATGGAGTTAAAATATCCCTTTTTTTAAAGCGAAGTAAGTACATTTAATTTTTGTAACGAATTAAAAACCTAACCTAATTTTTTCAAGGACTATTTAACTCGTTCAAAAACTAGAAATTTTAGGTTATATTACGCGTTAATAATCTGAAATGATTCAAATAGCGATTAAATTAAATTTTATATAAAATGAATCAACTTACAACTATTTTTAAATTGACATAAAAAAGTTAGGTTATGTCCGAAACGTCATTCCGAGATAAAAATCGTTTCCTGGCGTCTAAAATCTTCTGATTCTTATGATGATATTCCCGAATATGCGATTAAGTGCAATTTGGCCCATGTAATCGGTAAATTTTGCTATTTGTTAAGGTAAAATTAACGGTATCAACATAACCTCCATTTCTTCTTTCAATACCAACCCAAATTCATTACAAATTTCCCTACTTTTTATAATTTTTTTAAACTTAACAAAAATTCTTTTTACGCTTAAACTGTGTATATTTTAGGTAACGATTTGATTGATTCTTATTAATCCGGGCTACGATAGTTTTTTTAATTATTTATTATTAATTAATTTATTATAAGTGGTATCAAGAGGCAATTTTCACCACTTATAATGAACGAGACGATCATAATCTATGGTTATTTCTGAACTCAGAACTACTCAAAAATGTTGATTGTATCTTAATTTAAGACATTTAATGGCGATTAAAGATAAATAATAGAAGATAATAAACTGTCTTAAATCCACTAAAAGTGATTGAATGTGAGATTCTTAATCTTATCCCACTTAGAACATGTCTGTTTAGAAAATCGGTTGGATGTATAATATATAAACAGTGAGAAATCAAATATACTATGATTGTGTTGCTTGAGAGAGTCAAGATGGGTTTTAAAGTTGTTGTCATTCTTGCAGTTTTAGCCCTTATAAGTGGCTGTACTTCTGAGTTAATATTGGATGAAGCTAAAATAGATGATGTTGGAAAATCAGCCCCCAACGATTCTAAATTATTAAGCCAGGTTAATATTTCAATAAATATTCATTGACTAATTTTTTTAATTTCAAATCTGTTTTAGCCTTGGGTAACATATACTAATATGGATGATCAAATGATAAGTAATGTTTTAGCAGCAGTACAGCTCGCCCTTCAAATGGTGGATACAACCCGACCTACATTTATACAAAGTGTTATGCGTTCGTTATATCCAGATATTCGTTTTAATATTTTTGAAAACTTCAGTTCTTTTTCTATATTTCGTATTCTTCGTGCTTCAATTGAAGGATACAATAGCGACGGAGTGCTCACTAGGTTCATAATCTTTTCACCAGCATAACTTTTTAAAAAATGATTAATATTTTAAAGTTACTTTGTTATATTTTGACAGAATTGTTATAATTAATTAAGTATCGCAATTTAAAGTTGTGTTTTATTCTCCACCAAACCGTTTTAACCTACTTAAACGATCTTCAAGAAGACTAAAAATGCTCAATTTTAAGTCAATAAAATAATTCGAAGCGCCATCTTTTGGGAAATAGAAGAACTAAAATAATTAAATTAACGTTAAATTTCATGAAAATGTTTATTATTATTTTTATAACAATAATTTAAAAGAAACAATCTCAAAATGTTAAGTATTTTTTTAATAAAAACATAAATTAAAATTAATATTATTTTTGAGCCGATAAAGTAGAACACTAATAATTATTTTATTTTTAATAATAATTTAATGACAACAAATTATTTTTTACACTAATTAAGAAGTGAATTTAAAATAAATAATTTCCTTTATAAACATTCTTTTATACATTAGTTTTAGACATTTCAAATCGTTTCAGTATCACCCTAAAAAGTGAGGTTATGCGACGTAAGCATGAACTAAAAAATCACAAAAATCCAATTTAAACGCAATTTTGACCCAAAAAAATAACAAACTTACAATCACTATATAATGATTACAACCCAAGGTACTCAATTCAATCATTATTTTCCCTTAATAATTAATTTAAAATTTTTTTTTTACTTACGTTTGGTGGAGATACCCTCATTTCCGATTGGAAGGCGAAACCTACACCCATTATAAATCAAAATCCAAATTTTTTGGGTATTTATAACATTAATAATTGTATTTTAAAACATTTTAAATGAAAGCCGTCTATGAATGACTGAATTAACTAAAAAAGTAGATTCCTTTTTTTTAATTGACACAAACAATATAACCTACAAAACACTTTTTTTATAATATAAAAGTTTAAAATAAAACGCAATAAATTTGTGGGGAAATAATAAATAAGTTAAATTATGCAATACAAATATTTTCTGTCCAAGGTAAGATCATAAATGACCTTAATTAATGTATTAATATTATAATTATTTACAGGATAGAGACGGTGCTACTCTTTCTGATGATACCATCGTAGTTTGGCCTTATTTTACGACAAATGAGTCGATTTAAACTCAAGTATGACTTTATTGTAAAGATAAGGTTAATTATTTAATTTAAAATTTGTATCGTGATCATCTCGGAAGATAAAAACTAAATCATAACTTCTTAAAAGAGTACTTGGAGTGCTTATATTAATCGTAATGGGATACTTTGGTTTCTAATTGCCTCTCATGCTGCTTTAACTCAATTTTATTCCAAATATTATTTTTTGACAGCTCCTAAAACATAACCTATAAAATTAATTTATTTAAAAAATTATAATAAATCACCTACAATTTATAAAAAGAATTCTAAATGTTAAACATTTTGATGTCGTTGATTCGAATTCTTTTCCTTAATTAAGTGGTTTCTTCGAATAACTTCATAAAATATATAACCTTAAAAAAAAGTTATTTAATTTTATTTTAACTTACTTAATATTTATTGAGAAGTATTTATCGTTTTCTTAATCTCTGATTATATTAATAATTCCGTTTTTATGATTTATTATTAAATAATTGGTGAGTTTAAAAATAACCTCAATTTCTTTTTTCAATACCAACCCAAACGTTTCAAATTTCTCTATTATGTATCAAATTTTTTAATGAAACAAAAAATTCTTTGTTAATTTTATAAATAATTAAGTTTTTGAACGCATTTCAATCGTTACCTTGCTTTGTAATGATAATTAACACAAAAAAGAATGATTTAATAATTAATTCAAATTTTTAGGGATTTACTTTTAATTCAATACCAACGTAAGCATTGAAAGGTAGTCTTCACCATTTCTTTTCACACTTTTCGTCTCAAAAAAGCAATAATTCGCTACAATAAACAAATTTAAGTGGATTAAAAGGTGCGAACTGTGCACTTTGAAAATTAACCTGCATTTTTTATGACAATTATCCTATAAAACATAATTTTACTCAATTTGTCATTTTAAGGTTGGTAATGATTTCGAAATATATTTGTCAAACGTTGTATTTAACCTCACTTTTTGTAATTATTAATTATTATATTTTAGGTAACGATTTGATTGATTCTTATTAATCCGGGCTACGATAGTTTTTTTAATTATTTATTATTAATTAATTTATTGTAAGTGGTATCAAGAGGCAATTTTCACCACTTATAATGAACGAGAAGATCATAATCTATGGTTATTTCTGAATTCAAAACTACTCAAAAATGTTGATTGTATCTTAATTTAAGACATTTAATGTCGATTAAAGATAAATAATAGAAGATAATAAACTGTCTTAAATCCACTAGAAGTGATTGAATGTGAGATTCTTAATCTTATCCCACTTAGAACATGTCTGTTTAGAAAATCGGTTGGATGTATCATATATAAACAGTGAGAATCCAAATGAAAAATATACTACAATTGTGTAACTTAAAGAGAGTCAACATGGGTTTTAAAGTTGTTGTTATTGTTGCAGTTTTAGCCCTTATTAACGGTTGCATTGATGCTTCAATATTGGATGCAGTTAAAATAGATGATGTTGGAACATTACCCCCTAATGATTCTGAGTTATTAAACCAGGTTAATATTTCAATAAATATTCATTGACTAATTTTTTTAATTTGAAATCTGTTTTAGCCTTGGGTAACATTTACTAACCTGGATGAGCAAATGACAAGTAATGTTTTAGCTGCAGTACAACTCGCCCTTCAAATGAATACAGGCCGATCTACATTTGTACAAAGCGTTATGGGTTCGCTATATCCAAATATTCGTTTTAATATTGTTGAAAGCTTCACTGCCGGTTCTATATTTCGTACGCTTCGTGCTTCAATTGAAGGATACAATAGCAACGGAGTACTCACTAGGTTCATAATCTTTACATCACCATAACTTTTTAAAAAATGATTAATATTTGAAAGTTACTTTGTTATCTTTTGACAGAATTGTTATGATTAATTAAAAATCGCAATTTAAAGTTGTGTTTTATTCTCCACCAAACCGTTTTAACCTACTTAAACGATCTTCGAGAAGACTAAAAATGCTCAATTTTAAGTAAATAAAAGTAAAATAATTCGAAGCGCCATCTTTTGGGAAATAGAAGAACTAAAATAATTAAATTAACGTTAAATTTCATAAAACTGTTTATTATTATTTTTATAACAATAATTTAAAAGAAACAATCTCAAAATGTTAAGTATTTTTTTAATAAAAATATAAATTAAAATTAGTTATATCATTTTTAAGCCGATATAGTAGAACACTAATAATTATTTTATTTTTAATAATAATTTAATAACAACAAATTAGTTTCTGTAGTGATTAATAAATAAATTTAAAATAAATAATTTCCCTTATAGTCGTTCTTTTATACATTATTTTTAGACATTTCAAATAATTTCAGTATCACCCTAAAAAGTGAGGTTATGCGACGTAAACATAAACTAAAAAATCACAAAAATCCGATTTAAACGCAATTTTGACCCAAAAAAATCAAAAATTAATGAACTTACAATCACTATTTAATGATTTCAACCCAAGGTCCTCAATTCAATCATTATTTTCCCTTAATAATTAATTTTTATTTTTTTTTTTACTTACGTTTGATGGAGATCCGATTGGAAGGCGAAACCTACACTCATTATAAATCAAAAGCAAAATTTTTTGGGTATTTATTTGATTTATAACATTAATAAATAATTGTATTTTAAGACATTTTAAATGAGAGCCGTCTATGAATGACTGAATTAATTAAGAAAGTAGATTCCTTTTTTTTAATTACCGACATAAAACAATATAACCTACAAAATAAAAACGAATATAAATAAAGGTTATTTAAACTAAAATGAATCAAATTCATGGAGAAATAATAAATAATTTTATATATGAAATGCAAATATTTTCTATACAAGGTAATATCATAAACGATCTTAATTAATGCATTAATTTTATAATTATTTATAGGATTAAGGAGAATGCTACTCTTTTTGATGATACCATCGTAGTTTGGCCTTATTTTACGACAAATGAGTTGATTTAAACTCAAGTATGACTTTATTGTAAAGGTAAGGTTAATTATTTAATTTAAAATTTGTATTGTAACCATCTCGGAAGATAAAAACTAAATCATAACTTCTTAAAAGAGTACTTAGAGTGCTTGTATTAATCGTAATGGGGTAATTTGATTGCCTCTTTAACTCGATTATATTCCAAATATTATTTTTTGACAGCTCCTAAAACATAACCTATAAAATGAATTTATTTAAAAAATTATATAAATCACCTAGAATTTATAAAAACAATTCTAAATGTTTATGAGATAAACATTTTGATGTCGTTGATTCGAATTCATTTTCTTAATTAAGTGTTTTCTTTGAATTACTTCATAAAATTATAACCTTAAAAAGTGATTTGATTTTAACCTACTTAATATTTATAGAGAAGTGTTTATCATTTTCTTAATCTCTTATTATGTTAATAATACCGTTTTTATCATGTATTATTAAATAATCGGTAAGTTTTTCTATTTTTTAACATAAAATTAACTGTATCAACATAACCTCAATTTCTTTTTTCAATACCAACCCAAACATTACAAATTTTTTTGTTACGAAACAAAATTCTTTTTATTTTTATAAACAAATAAAGTTTTAAACACATTTTAATTATTAACTTTCTTTATAATGATAATTAACACTAAAAAAATAATTTAATTAATTTCGTATTTTAAGGTTGGTAGTCCCGTTGGTGAATGTCAACAAAATGAAGTTTAAAAAATTGTGTTTAACCTCACTTTTACGTTATTTAAACGTTTAAACAAAGTTATTTCTTTAAATTCCATTCCAAATTCTTGCCGCGAACCAAACAACTCCCATTGTAAACATGAAAAAGCCTTCAGTTATGATTGAAACGTCGTCTTGTTCAAACCTACTTTTAAATTTAAACATTAAATTAGAAGATGAAGATCGAAAAGGATTCCGCGCATTTCTTCACAGAGAAATATTTATTAAAATTATTCAATAAGGTAAACAAAGTTTATTTATAAAATCGCATTAAGTACAACACTTTTTATTTTTAGATCGTCCCGATCGATGGCGAAACGATAACTTATAAACAATTACAAGATTTTATGCAGGATAAAGACGATTTAATACTACCAGAACGAGTTCGAAACGTTATTAAAACAAAATCCGATTTAAAAGGAGACGAAAAAATGTATCTCGCCGATTTCATCGAATTAATCACCAACGAAAAATATCAAAATCGATTTGAAAAGTATTTCAACATGTACATGGAATTTCTTATTCCACCCCCTCAACCACACGACGTTCAACCACCAAAAAATCTTCGTTTTCACGCAATATCTGCACGTTGTGCTATCCAAAAACAAATTGATGATGTCGAAATCGTTTTAGAAGAAGATGAAGATTTCGAAATTCATGAACGAATTTATCGTTTTTGGCCACTACCTTTAACAATGATTTTATTTTCATTATCAGAAATTATTTTGTACTTAATCGACGCTTCGTACGGTTTGAATTGGAGAAATGGGATCGTTTCGAAAAGATTAATTTATAATCCTTGGAGAAGAATCGAAATTTGGAGGTATCTTAGCTACATGTTTGTTCATTTGGGGTGAAAAAGCATATAATTTTTTAATTAATAGTAATTTTAACAATTTTGTTGTAGTATTTGGCACCTTTCTATGAACGTAATCTTCCAGTTGCTTTTGGGGTCCCCTTTAGAAGTTCATTATGGATGGTGGCCTGTTAGTGTTGTTTATTGCTGTGGGGTTATTTCTGGCTCTTTAGGAAGCTCAGTTACGGATAGTTCTGCTTGGTTAACTGGGGCTAGTGGTGGTGTTTATGCTTTATTAACGGCTCATATTGTTTCGATAATCATCGTAAATAAGTATTATTTATTTTATTTATTTATTTAATTACATAATTTTAGAATTGGAAAAGAGTTAATCACCGCAAAGTCTTGGTGGTATTCCTTTTAGGATTTATCTTAATCGATGTTATAAGAGTTATCATCGATTATTTATCGGGCAATTTAGATCATACAATTTCGCATGTTGCCCATTTTTTCGGTGGGTTATCCGGAATTTTAATTGGAACAGTTATTTTTAAACAATTCTCCCATCAAGGAGAAGGAAAAAGAATCGTTTACGTTCTTGTGGTTATTTCGATAATTTTAATTGGATTCGGCGTGTTTTATAACATTTTTTCAACGTTTCCCGAGCCAATTTAACATATTTAATAACATTTTAGTTAATAAATCAAATTTATTATAATTAAGTTATGCAACCAACATTGCATTTAATTTAGTTCCAATTTTCGCCGTTTAAATCGCGTCTTTTTATTTATTGAGGTTATGTCGTTACGTTTAATTTCAAATTAAAAATCAAAAAAAAGTTATTCGAAGATAACAATTCATCGAGAGAAAGAAAGAAAACGATATTAAAATGTTTAACTCATAAACATTTATAATAAATTGCAGGTAATTTATTATAATTTTTTAATTAAATCAATTTTATAGGTTATGTTTTAGGAGCTGTCAAAAAATAATATTTGGAATTTAATTGAATTAAAGCCGATTTTTAACAAAGATGTTTAGTTAAAGTTTATTATTAATTAATTTCCATGTCGAAAAAGTCTTTTAAGATGTTTTGATTTAGTTTTTATCTTTCGAGATAATTACAGTACAAATTGAGATTAAATAATTGTTATTAATTGGATTCGGGGTGTTTTATAACATTTTTTAACATTTCCCGAGTCAATTTAACATATTTAATAACATAATTCATTATAATTAAGTTATGCAACCAACATTGCTTTTAATTTAGTTCCAATTTTCGCCGTTTTAATCGCGGCTTTTTGTTTATTGAGGTTATGTCGTTGCGTTTAATTTCAACTTAAAAATGGAAAAACTGCGATTATTTAATAACACATCACAAAAACGATGTTATCAAAGAATTAGAAAGCGATAAACACTTCTCGATTAACATTAAGTGAGTTAAAATGAATTAAATAAGTTTAATTTAATTTTTTGAGGTTATGTTTAATTTTATTATCATCGATTATTTATCGGGCAATTTAAATCATACAATTTTGCATGGTTCCCACTTTTTCGGTGGATTATCCGGAATTTTAATCGGAACCGTTATTTTTAAACAATTCTCCCATGAAGGAGAAGGAAAAAGAATCGTTGACGTTCTTGTGATAATTTCGATCATTTTAGTTTGATTCGGGGTGTTTTATAACATTTTTTCAACGTTTCCCGAGCCTATTTAACATAATTAACAACATTTGAGTTAATAATTAAAATTTATTATAAATAAGTTATGCAACCAACATTTCATTTAGAATTTGCATTTACAAGTTTTAATTTAGTTTTTATCTTTCGAGATAGTTCCAGTACAAATTGAGATTAACTAATAATAATTATTATTATTAATTGGATTCGGGGCGTTTTATAACATTTTTTTAACATATTTAATAACAATTAATTATAATTAAGTTATGCAACCAACATTGCATTTAATTTAGTTCCAATTTTCGCCGTTTTAATCGCGGCTTTTTGTTTATTGAGGTTATGTCGTTGCGTTTAATTTCAACTTAAAAATGGAAAAACTTAGCGATTATTTAATAACACATCACAAAAACGATATTATTAATATAATAAGAGATGAAGAATACGATAAACACTTCTCGATTAACATTAAGTGAGTTAAAATGTTAATTAAATAAGTTTAATTTAATTTTTTGAGGTTATGTTTAGTTTTATGCAGTTATTTGAAGAAAACGCTTTATTGGGGAACAAATTTCTCACCGATTTCGAATCTACCTCATCGCAATGCTCATCTCACCTACAAAGCGTTCAAAAAATTCTCCTTCAAGAATCAACTATCGGAAGGATCAAACCAAACGTGCACTTACGAGTGTTTAGTTTACCATCATGTTCGGAGCTAAATCGGATTGTTTTTCCAAGCAATAAAGATTTAGAGTTGTTTTTGCAAATTACGGGTATGTAATTAATTTTTTTTAAATTAAACAAATTTTATAGGTTATGTTTTAGGAACTGTCATAAAAAGTAGTATTCCGAAGATATTGGAGTATAAACGAGCTTATAAATGCGGAAAATGCAAAAACATCGTTGAAACAGAAGCGGATTTTTACCAAAAATATTTGCTTGAGCCCCCGAAATGGTGTTTAAATCCCGATTGTAAACATAACAAATTTGTGGTTGATAACAAAATGAATACGAACACATCGAAAGATTACCAAGAAGTTAAAATACAAGTAAATGTTATAATAATGATTTTTTTGGGGAAATTAAAACCATTTTTTTAGGAGCAAATCCTTTATGCGCAAACTGGGTGTATTCCAAACACGTTGAGGGTTATTTTAGAGGATGATTTGGTTGATTCTTGCAAACCGGGCGATGCAATAACAGTGTGGTAATTAATTTTATTTTATTAATGAATTTTTATGTCAAAAACGTCATTTTTCGAAATATTCGCTTTTTGACTAATTTAGATTGGTATAACTAATTCATGGGATATAATCGTTTATGAAATATGTTCCCCAGGTTAATAATGAACATTTTTTGTCATAATAACTTTCTCCAATCTCTTTTTATTCTTGAGATATCATCAATTTTTATGTCAAAAACGTCATTTTTCGAAATATTCGCTTTTTGATTAATTTAGGTTGGTATAACTACTTGATGAGATATAATCGTTTATGAAATATGTTCCCCCGATCAATAATGAAAATTTTTTGTCCTAATCACTTTCTCCCATCTCTTTTTATTCTTGAGATATCATCATTTTTTATGTCAGAAACGTCATTTTTTCGAAACATTCGCTTTTTGACTAATGTAGGTTGGTATAACTAATTGATGAGATATAATCGTTTATGAAATATGTTCCCCAGGTTAATAAAGAACAATTTTTATCCTAATCACTTTCTCCCATCTCTTTTTATTCGTAAGATATCATCAATTTTTGTCAAAAACGTCATTTTTCGAAATATTCGCTTTTTGGCTAATTTAGGTTGGTATAACTAATTCATGACATATAATCGTTTATGAAATATCTTCCCCAGGTTAATAATGAACATTTTTTGTCCTAATCATTTTCTCCTATCTCTTTTTATTCTTGAGGTATCATCAATTTTTATGTCAAAAACGTCATTTTTCGAAATATTCGCTTTTTGGCTAATTTAGGTTGGTATAACTAATTGATGAGATATAATCGTTTATGAAATATGTTCCCCAGATTAATAAAGATCATCTTTTGTCATAATAACTTTCTCCCATCNAAACACGTTGAGGGTTATTTTAGAGGATGATTTGGTTGATTCTTGCAAACCGGGCGATGCAATAACAGTGTGGTAATTAATTTTATTTTATTAATTAATTTTTATGTCAAAAACGTCATTTTTCGAAATATTTGCTTTTTGATTAATTTAGGTTGGTATAACTAATTCATGAGATATAATCGTTTATGAAATATCTTCCCCAGGTTAATAATGAACATTTTTTGTCCTAATCACTTTCTCCCATCTCTTTTTATTCTTGAGATATCATCAATTTTTATGTCAAAAACGTCATTTTTCGAAATATTCGCTTTTTGACTAATTTAGGTTGGTATAACTAATTCATGGGATATAATCGTTTATGAAATATGTTCCCCAGGTTAATCATGAACATTTTTTGTCCTAATCACTTTCTCCCATCTCTTTATTCTTGAGATATCATCAATTTTTATGTCAAAAACGTCATTTTTCGAAATATTCGCTTTTTGACTAATTTAGGTTTGTACAACGAACTCACGAGATATAATCGTTTATGAAATATGTTCCCCTGGTTAATAAAGGGCATCTTTTGTCCTAATAACTTTCTCCCATCTCCTTTTATTCTTGAGATATCATCATTTTTTATGTCAAAAACGTCATTTTTCGAAATATTCGCTTTTTGACCCATTTAGATTAGTATAACGAACTCGTGAGATATAATCGTTTATGAAATATGTTTCCCAGGTTAATAATGAACATTTTTTGTCCTAATCATATTCTCCCATCTCTTTTTATTCTTGAGATATCATCATTTTTTATGTCAAAAACGTCATTTTTCGAAATATTCGCTTTTTGACTAATTTAGGTTGGTATATCTAATTCATGAGATATAATCGTTTATGAAATATGTTCCCCAGGTCAATAATGAACATTTTTTGTCCTAATCACTTTCTCCCATCTCTTTTTATTCTTGAGATATCATCATTTTTTATGTCAAAAACGTCATTTTTCGAAATACTCGGTTTTTAACTAATTTAGGTTGGTATAACTACTTGATGAGATATAATCGTTTATGAAATATGTTCCCCAGGTTAATAATGAACATTTTTTGTCCTAATTATTTTCTCCCATCTCTTTTTATTCTTCAGATATCATCAATTTTTATGTCAAAAACGTCATTTTTCGAAATATTCGCTTTTTGATTAATTTAGATATGTATAACTAATTCATGAGATATAATCGTTTATGAAATATCTTCCCCAGGTTAATAATGAACATTTTTTGTCCTAATCATTTCCTCCCATCTCTTTTTATTCTTGAAATATCATTTTTTATGTCAAAAACGTCATTTTTGGAAATTTAGGTTGGTATAACGAACTCATGAGATATAATCGTTTATGAAATATGTTCCCCAGGTTAATAAAAAACATTTTTGTTATAATAACTTTCTCCCATCTCTTTTTATCCTTGAGATTCATCAATTTTTATGTCAAAAACGTGAAATTAATTAAAGTTATGCAACCAACATTGTGTTAATTTAGTGTTTATCTTTTGAGATAGTTCCAGTACAAATTGAGATTAACTAATAATAATTATTATTATTAATTGGATTCGGGGCGTTTTATAACATTTTTTTAACATATTTAATAACAATTCATTATAATTAAGTTATGCAACCAACATTGCATTTAATTTAGTTCCAATTTTCACCGTTTTAATCGCGGCTTTTTTATTTATTGAGGTTATGTCGTTGCGTTTAATTTAAACTTAAAAGTGGAAAAACTTGGCGATTACTTAATAACACATCACAAAAACGATGTTATGTATTTCGTACATCTTATGGGTTATTTTGGTTGATTCTTATAAACCAAGTTATGCTACAACAGTTTTTGAATAATTTATTTTTAGTGGTACAACTCGAACAAATGGACGTGATGTATTAGAATATAAAATAATACCAAAATTATTGACATTAGTATATAACAAAGTAACTTAAAACTATATTAATCATTTTTAAAAAGTTACTAGTCAAAGATTACGAAACGACGGTAGTTTCCGTCCTGATCATATGCATCAATTGCAGCATAAAAAGAACCATGTATTATAAATTGCATGTATTCAAGAATATTAAAACGCTGATCTGGATATAACGTTTTCAAATTACTGTGTATAACGGAAACTGGGCGTTCATTCGGCGACTCAACAGCGAGTTGTACTGAAGATAGAACATTGCTTAACATTTCGCTATCCATATTTTGAGAGGCTGCTACCCAAGCCTAAAACAGATTTCAAATTAAAAAAATTAGTCAATGAATATTTATTGAAATATTAACCTCTTTTAATAACCCAGAAGGTTTGGGGGGTGATATTGGAACACTATCCTTTGCAGCTTCTTCTGATATTACCCCAGCGGTACACCCGCTTATTAGGGCTAAAACTCCAAGAACGAGAACAACTTTAAAACCCATCTTGATTCTCTTCAAGCAACAGAATCGTAGTATGATTTTCCATTTGGTTTCTGACTCTTTATATACGATACATAAGTGGAATAAAATTAAAAAAACATTTATTTTTCTTTCATCACTTTTTCTTCATTTCTTACAGCTTAAGTTGTTTTTATTGATAAGAATCGTATTTTTTTATAGTTATAGTTAAAAATCATTTATCTTTAGTGGCCTTTAAGTGCTTCAAATTGAGAAAGATCAACATTTTAATTTTAAACTTAATTCAAAGTTGTTATTAAAAATTAAAATTAAATTATTTATAACGATTTCTACCTACCATTTTTTACAATTTTTCTTTTTAGTAATTTTCGTCTTAAAAAGCAATAATTTTCTACAATAAACAAATTTAAATTGTATAAAACTGGTGAAATAAATTATGGTATAAATAACATTATGCTACAACAGTTTTTTAATTATTCATTATTTATTTATTTTTAGTGATATCAGGAAGAATCCGAAATAACGAAAAATAATATAATAAAATTTTAAATTCTGTCAACTCAAAAATGTTTCGATTAAAGATAAATAATTTTTAACTCTAACTATAAAAAAATACGATTCGTATCAACAAAAACAACTTAAGCTGTAAGAAATGAGGAAATCGTGATGAAACGTGAAGTTTTTAATCTTATTTCACTTATGTAGCGTATATAGGGTGTATCTCAATGACTGCAACAAACTTCAAGGGGTGACTGAAGTGACCATGGGCGATTGTGACGTAGTTTGTGGGCAGGTTGTCACAACAATGGATGTAGCAGTCGTGTTAGATTTTACTGTCCTTGGGTTGGTATAACTAATTCATGAGATATAATCGTTTATGAAATATATTCCCCAGGTATAAAAGAACAATTTTTATACTAATCACTTTCTCCCATCTCTTTTTATTCTTGAGATATCATCTTTTTTGTGTCAAAAACGTCATTTTTCGAAATATTCGCTTTTTGACCCATTTAGATTAATATAACGAACTCATGAGATATAATCGTTTATGAAATATGTTTCCCAGGTTAATAATGAACATTTTTTGTCCCAATCATTTTCTCCCATCTCTTTTTATTCTTGAGATATCATCAATTTTTATGTCAAAAACGTCATTTTTCGAAATATTCGCTTTTTAATTAATTTAGGTTGGTATAACTACTTGATGAGATATAATCGTTTATGAAATATGTTCCCCAGGTTAATAATGAACATTTTTTATCCTAATAACTTTCTCCCATCTCTTTTTATTCTTGAGATATCATTAATTTTTATGTCAAAAATGTCATTTTTCTAAATATTCGTATTTTGAGTAATTTAGGTTGGTATAACTAATTGATGAGATATAATCGTTTATGAAATATCTTCCCCAGGTTAATAATGAACATTTTTTGTCCCAATCATTTTCTCCCATCTCTTTTTATTCTTGAGATATCATCAATTTTTATGTCAAAAACGTCATTTTTCGAAATATTCGCTTTTTGATTAATTTAGGTTGGTATAACTAATTGATGAGATATAATCGTTTATGAAATATCTTCCCCAGGTTAATAATGAACATTTTTTGTCCTAATCATTTTCTCCCATCTCTTTTTATTCTTGAGATATCATCAATTTTTATGTCAAAAACGTCATTTTTCGAAATATTCGCTTTTTGACTAATTTAGGTTGGTATAACTAATTCATGAGATATAATCGTTTATGAAATATGTTCCCCAGGTTAATAAAGAGCATCTTTTGTCATAATCACTTTCTCCCATCTCTTTTTATTCTTGAGATATCATCAATTTTTATGTCAAAAACGTCATTTTTCGAAATATTCGCTTTTTGACTAATTTAGGTTGGTACAACTAATTCATGAGATATAATCGTTTATGAAATATGTTCCCCAGGTTAATAAAGAGCATCTTTTGTCATAATCACTTTCTCCCATCTCTTTTTATTCTTGAGATATCATCAATTTTTATGTCAAAAACGTCATTTTTCGAAATATTCGCTTTTTGACTAATTTAGGTTGGTACAACTAATTCATGAGATATAATCGTTTATGAAATATGTTCCCCAGGTTAATAAAGAGCATCTTTTGTCATAATCACTTTCTCCCATCTCTTTTTATTCTTGAGATATCATCAATTTTTATGTCAAAAACGTCATTTTTCGAAATATTCGCTTTTTGACTAATTTAGGTTGGTACAACTAATTCATGAGATATAATCGTTTATGAAATATGTTCCCCAGGTTAATAAAGAGCATCTTTTGTCATAATCACTTTCTCCCATCTCTTTTTATTCTTGAGATATCATCAATTTTTATGTCAAAAACGTCATTTTTCGAAATATTCGCTTTTTGACTAATTTAGGTTGGTACAACTAATTCATGAGATATAATCGTTTATGAAATATGTTCCCCAGGTTAATAAAGAGCATCTTTTGTCATAATCACTTTCTCCCATCTCTTTTTATTCTTGAGATATCATCAATTTTTATGTCAAAAACGTCATTTTTCGAAATATTCGCTTTTTGACTAATTTAGGTTGGTACAACTAATTCATGAGATATAATCGTTTATGAAATATGTTCCCCAGGTTAATAAAGAGCATCTTTTGTCATAATCACTTTCTCCCATCTCTTTTTATTCTTGAGATATCATCAATTTTTATGTCAAAAACGTCATTTTTCGAAATATTCGCTTTTTGACTAATTTAGGTTGGTACAACTAATTCATGAGATATAATCGTTTATGAAATATGTTCCCCAGGTTAATAAAGAGCATCTTTTGTCATAATCACTTTCTCCCATCTCTTTTTATTCTTGAGATATCATCAATTTTTATGTCAAAAACGTCATTTTTCGAAATATTCGCTTTTTGACTAATTTAGGTTGGTACAACTAATTCATGAGATATAATCGTTTATGAAATATGTTCCCCAGGTTAATAAAGAGCATCTTTTGTCATAATCACTTTCTCCCATCTCTTTTTATTCTTGAGATATCATCAATTTTTATGTCAAAAACGTCATTTTTCGAAATATTCGCTTTTTGACTAATTTAGGTTGGTACAACTAATTCATGAGATATAATCGTTTATGAAATATGTTTCCCAGGTTAATAATGAACATTTGTTGTCCAAATCATTTCCTCCCATCTCTTTTTATTCTTGAAATATCATCATTTTTTATGTCAAAAACGTCATTTTTGGAAATATTCGCTTTTTGACCAATTTAGATTAGTATAACGAACTCATGAGATATAATCGTTTATGAAATATGTTCCCCAGGTTAATAATGAACATTTTTTGTCCTAATCACTTTCTGCCATCTCTTTTTATTCTTGAGATATCATCAAATTCTATGTCAAAAACGTCATTCTTCAAAATATATGCTTTTTGACTAATTTAGGTTGGTATAACTAATTCATGAGATGTAATCGTTTATGAAATATGTTCCCCAGGTTAATAATGAACATTTTTTGTCCTAATCATTTTCACCCATCTCTTTTTATTCTTGAGATATCATCAATTTTTATGTCAAAAACGTCATTTTTCGAAATATTCGCTTTTTGGCTAATTTAGGTTGGTATAACTAATTCATGAGATATAATCGTTTATGAAATATGTTCCCCAGGTTAATAATTTTTGTCCCAATCATTTTCTCCCATCTCTTTTTATTCTTGAGATATCATCAATTTTTATGTCAAAAACGTCATTTTTCGAAATATTCGCTTTTTGATTAATTTAGGTTGGTATAACTAATTGATGAGATATAATCGTTTATGAAATATGTTCCCCAGGTTAATCATGAACATTTTTTGTCCTAATCACTTTCTCCCATCTCTTTTTATTCTAGAGATATCATCAATTTTTACGTCAAAAATGTCATTTTTCGAAATATTCGCTTTTTGATTAATTTAGGTTGGTATAACTAATTGATGAGATATAATCGTTTATGAAATATGTTCCCCAGGTTAATAATGAACATTTTTTGTCCTAATCATTTTCTCCCATTTCTTTTTATTCTTGAGATATCATCAATTTTTATGTCAAAAACGTCATTTTTCGAAATATTCGCTTTTTGACTAATTTAGGTTGGTATAACGAATTCATGACATATAATCGTTTATGAAATATGTTCCCCAGGTTAATAAAGAGCATTTTTTGTCCTAATCATTTTCTCCCATCTCTTTTTATTCTTGAGATATCATCAATTTTTATGTCAAAAACGTCATTTTTCGAAATATTCGCTTTTTGCCTAATTTAGGTTGGTATAACGAATTCATGACATATAATCGTTTATGAAATATGTTCCCCAGGTTAATAAAGAGCATTTTTTGTCCTAATCATTTTCTCCCATCTCTTTTTATTCTTGAGATATCATCAATTTTTATGTCAAAAACGTCATTTTTCGAAATATTCGCTTTTTGCCTAATTTAGGTTGGTATAACGAACTCATGAGATATAATCGTTTATGAAATATATTCCCCAGGTTAATAATGAACATATTTGTCCTAACCACTTTCCAATGACTTTTCCTTGTCCATGAATAAAAAAGTTAGGTAAGAATCTGTCAAATGTCAAAATTAAAAATAACGATTTTTTGATAAATATCGAAATGATCTTAATAAGAATCAAAAATGCTTTCATTTGATACCAAACGCGATATATTTGGGTTAAAAAATAAAAAAGTTAAGTTAGAAACTGTCAAATGTCAAAATTAAATATAACGATTTATTGATAAATATTCAAATGAACTTAATAAAAATAAAAAATGCTTTAATTTGATACCAAACATGATATATTTGGGTTAAAAAATAAAAAAGTTAGGTTAGAAACTGTCAAATGTCAAAATTAAATATAAAGATTTTTTGATAAATAATGAAATAATCTTAATAAGAATCAAAAATGCTTTAATATGATACCAAATATAATATATTTGGGTTAAAAAATAAAAAAGTTAGGTTAGAAACTGTTAAATGTCAAAATTAAATTAACGATTTTTTGAAAAATTTGGAAATGTTCTTAATAAGAATCAAAAATGCTTTAATTTGATACCAAACACGATATATTTGGGTTAAAAAATAAAAAAGTTAAGTTAGAAACTGTCAAATGTCAAAATTAAATATAACGATTTTTTGATAAATATCGAAATGATCTTAATAAGAATCAAAAATTCTTTGATTTGATACCAAACATGATATATTTGGGATAAAAAATGAAAAAGTTAGGTTATAAACTGTCAAATGTTAAAATTAAATGATAACGATTTTTTGATAAATAATGAAATAATCTTAATAAGAATCAAAAATGCTTTAATATGGTACCAAACACGATATATTTGGGTTAAAAAGTGAAAAAGTTAGGTTATAAACTGTCAAATGTCAAAAAATCGCCATTTTTTTTTGCTAAAAATTAAGATATCTCGATAACGCTTAGAGATAAATAAGTCGAGTTTGGGTTCGTTGTAAAGGATTTTTAATTTTCTATCCATTTATGTTAAAAGAAGAATACCTTTATAACCAAAAAATTACCTATGTTGTTGCTAGAAGCGGGAATGACGAAGTATAGATTTTTATTTGTCGTTCTTTTCGCAATTCTTAGCTTACATTCGCTTTTTGACTAATTTAGATTTCTGTAAGTCTTGGCATAATTTTTAATATTTTCAATTATTGTTATCATAAGAAATCGTTTAAGATCATTATTGGAAATATCTAACCACGGGATCAATGCTATACAGGTGTCCACAAAGGTTATTATTATCCTTAAAACTTTTTTATTATGTCATAAACCATTAAATTTTCCTAATTTCATTTTAAAATTATTTATTAAATTCGTTATTTTTTTTTTTTGATTACAAAAATATAGGATATATTTCTTATTGTTTTAGAATAAAGCTAAAAATAAACTTTTTATAAAATTTTTAAACGCCGCCATCTAGTGTCGGCGAAGAAATTAAATTTACAGTTTCCTGTAAATTATTTTTAATTTATTTATTTTTAGTGGGATCGTAAAGAGACAATTTTCCCCGCTTGTTATGAACGAAAAGCTCCACGTCGAAACCGTTATTTTAGCAAATCACGTCCAAATAAACAACAATAACTCATTAACGATAGTTAAACCCGAAACGAGGCAATATTTCACGTGTTTTTGGGAATATTACCACAAAACGCCGCTGAAAGGGAGAGATATCATCGTTAAATCTTTTTGCCCACACGTAAGTTGAATTAATTGTGATCCTTTTGTTTCTAACGTTGTATTTTTTAGATTTATGGGTTACATTTGGTGAAATTAGCCGTTTTGATAACTTTAGCTGGTGGGAGTGCGTTCCAAGAGAAGAACGATTCGAAAGTAAAAACGCGTTCGGAGCCCCACATCTTATTAATTGGAGATCCAGGGACGGCGAAATCCCAATTTTTATTAACCGCCTCTAAGATAATTGCGAGATCTATTTTAACGACGGGAGTTGGCTCAACATCGGCTGGTTTAACCGTAACGGCTGTTAAGGTTTGATTTATTGATTTAATTTTGATTTGGAATAATTCTTTTTAAAAGAATAGGAGAGTAATGAGTGGCAATTAGAAGCGGGGGCTTTAGTTTTATCCGATGGTGGGGTTTGTTGCATAGACGAGTTTAATTCGATGAAAGAAAACGATCGGACGAGCATCCACGAAGCGATGGAGCAACAAAGTATCAGCGTTGCAAAAGCTGGAATCGTTTGCAAATTAAATACGCGCTGCTCGATTCTTGCCGCGACTAATCCCAAAAGGGGGTGGGATTCAAATCACCCCATTACGATTAACACGGGAATTCCGAGTCCGCTTTTAAGTAGATTCGATTTAGTTTTTATTTTGAGAGATGTCAACGATAAAAATTGGGATAAAATTGTTTCAAGGTACATTTTAAATAACGAAATTAACGATTTTAAAGACGAAAATATTTGGGATTTAGAAATGTTACAAGCTTATTTTGTCACGATCAAAAAAATTAACCCGATTTTGAACGAAAATTCCAACAAAATTTTAGCCGCTTATTATCAGGTACAAAGAAAAGCTTTAATTCGAAATAAATCTCGAACTACCGTTAGATTATTAGACAGCTTGATTCGGTTAGCTCAAGCTCACGCGAAATTAATGTTTCGCGACCAAGTCGAAGTTTTAGACGCGATTATGGCCGTGATTTTAATCGAGGCGTCAATCGAGAATGGCTCGGTCCTTAATTTGGAGTTAAATATACGCGAGAAGAATTTCGATGACCCAGAAAAGGATTATTTAAAGGTAGGGGCTAATATTTTAGAAAAACTCGGGCTTTTAAATGATTTAAAAGACGAATTAGATCGATTTAAAATTAAATGTTTCGATGAAACCACTTCGTTTCGAAACACCGGGAAATTATCGAGAAAAATTAACAAATCTTATTCGATTATTTATAAAAGGAATGATTCAAAAAGCTTTAATTTAAATGATAGTGAAGGGGGGAAAGAATTAAACGTTGAGGAATCAAAAGATTTCTTTGTTTTAAACAAAGATCAATACATGGATGATTCTGCGTTATTTAATCTTGATGATAGCACTAATAAGTGTTTAAATAACGATCCTAAAACACTAAATGAGAATGATTCTAAAAAAAATACTCAAAAATCTATCTTTGATTCAAACCTCAATGATGTTGATTTTGACATTTAAATTTGACGTTTAAAAAAAAGTGAGGTTATGTCAACTTAAATTAATAAATTTATTAACTTAATTACCTTAATTTTGTTGTTATAACATCGTATTTGGATTATAATTAAATCAATTTAAGTTAATTTGAAATTTAAAATTTTTAGCTTTAGAATAAAGCTAAAAATAAACTCTTTTTTAGTGTCGATAAAGAAATTAAATTTTTTTACAGTTTCCTGTAAATTACGGTGCTATAATTTAAATTATTCTACTAAAAATTTATATAAAATTTAATAATAGAATACAAGAATACAAACAAATGTTGCTATGTTTAAATAAATATATTTAAATTAATAGAATTAATATTTTTTTAATACAAATGAATTATCAATAATTTATTAAATCGTTTAATAATAATATTAAATATTAATAAAAAATGTGAAATAATGCAATCTATTCCAACTTTTGTGTAAAACAAATATAGTCCAACAAATGTATTTGTTTCAAATATCAGAAATATGTTTTTTTTTTAATTATAATTTACAGGAAACTGTAAATTTAATTTCTAACGACACTAAAAAAAAGTTTATTTTTAACTTTATTCTAAAACAATAACAAATAGACCTGTCAAACCCTATATTTTTGTAATCAGAAAAAAATAACGAATTTAATAAGCGAATAATCAGTGGTTGTTTGAATTTAAAAAAACTAAAATTGTCATGTTAAATAAAATTTGACGTTTAAAAAAAAATGAGGTTATGTCAACTTAAATTAATAAATTTATTAACTTAATTACCTTAATTTTGTTGTTATAACATCGTATTTTGATTATAATTAAATCAATTTAAGTTAATTTCATTAAATAACATCTCCCCAATTGGTTTTAAAGTTAATTCATGAATTTGTACAGGTGGTTCAAATTCGATTACATGTTGTGATCTCGTTTTTCGAGAAACTACTAATGCCAAAAAGCTCAATATGGGGTTAGATAGGTCTGGTTTTTATTGTTTTAGAATAATGCTAAAAATAAACTTTTTTTTAGTGTCGATAAAGAAATTAAATTTACAGTTTCCTGTAAATTACGGTGCTATAATTTAAAATTATTCTATTAAAAATTTATATAAAATTTACTTTATTTTCTAATATGTAACATTCTAACAAGTTAAACTTTTCGTAATTTTCGTAATCCAACTTAAAAACCAGGATTTGTAATTTGACACTTCAGAAACTACTGTTTCTAGAGTAGATAGTACAAGAAAGTGCTTTAATCAAAGTTTTGTAAGAGACCAATTGATAGATAATTGATCACTTTACNTTTAAGTAATTTCTTGGCGCCATCTAGCGACGAATAGATGTAACTAATAGAGAAATTTACAGTAACCTACAATTCGAGTTGAAAATGCTATGATTTTACTTTGATTTTATTAATACTAATTATTATAAATTTATTAACTTAATTACCTTAATTTTGTTGTTATAACATCGTATTTTGATTATAATTAAATCAATTTAAGTTAATTTCATTAAATAACATCTCCCCAATTGGTTTTAAAGTTAATTCATGAATTTGTACAGGTGGTTCAAATTCGATTACATGTTGTGATCTCGTTTTTCGAGAAACTACTAATGCCAAAAAGCTCAATATGGGGTTAGATAGGTGTGTTTCTTATTGTTTTAGAATAAAGCTAAAAATAAACTTTTTTTTAGTGTCGATAAAGAAATTAAATTTACAGTTTCCTGTAAATTACGGTGCTATAATTTAAAATTATTCTATTAAAAATTTATATAAAATTTACTTTATTTTCTAATATGTAACATTCTAACTTGTTAAACTTTTCGTAATCGATCTTAAAAAATAGGATTTTTAATTTGACACTTCAAAAAAAAAATTTTTTAAGTCATTTAATAATAATATTAATAAAAAAATGTGAAATAACGCAATCTATTCCAACTTTTGTGTAAAACAAATATAAATTAAATAGTTCAACAAATATATTTGTTTCAAATATCAGAAAAATGTTTTTTTTAATAATTTTTAGTTATAATTTACAGGAAACTGTAAATTTAATTTCTTTGACAACATTTAAAAAAAGTTTATTTTTAACTTTATTCTAAAACAATAAGTAATAGATGGATTATAACACCACTTCCATTTATACTCTGCAACAAAATAGAAATTAATAAAAAAAACGTTAAATAAAATTTGACGTTTAAAAAAAAGTGAGGTTATGTCAACTTAAATTAATAAATTTATTAACTTAGTTGCTTTAATTTTGTTGTTATAACATCGTATTTTGATTATAATTAAATCAATTTAAGTTATAATCCTTAAAACATCTTCTCAATCGGTTTTTTTAATGATTTCGTGAATGAAAGTACAAGTTTCATTCCGATTGATAAATCGTAACCCACACTTTAGTAACAACAAGGTAATTCATTCGTTTAAATTCATGTTTAAACATGGATTATAACTCCACTTATATTTATAGTCTGCAACAAAAAAAAATTAATAAAAAATAGTTAAATAAAATTTGACGTTTAAAAAAAAGTGAGATTATGTCAACTTAAATTAATAAATTTATTAACTTAATTACTTTAATTTTGTTGTTATAACATCGTATTTTGATCATAATTAAATCAATTTAAGTTATAATCCTTAAAACATCTCCTCAATCGGTTTTTTTAATGATTTCGTGAATGAAAGTACAAGTTTCATTCCGATTGATAAATCGTAACCCACACTTTGGTAATAAAAAGGTAATTCATTCGGTTTTTCTTCGTTTAAATTAATGTTTATACATGGATTATAACACCACTTAGATTTATACTCTGCAACAAAAAAGAATTAATAAAAAAAATCGTTAAATATTTGACGTTTAAAAAAAAGTGAGGTTATGTCAACTTAAATTAATAAATTTATTAACTTAATTACTTTAATTTTGTTGTTATAACATCGTATTTTGATCATAATTAAATCAATTTAAGTTATAATCCTTAAAACATCTCCTCAATCGGTTTTTTTAATGATTTCGTGAATGAAAGTACAAGTTTCATTCCGATTGATAAATCGTAACCCACACTTTAGTAATAAAAAGGTAATTCATTCGGTTTTTCTTCGTTTAAATTCATGTTTAAACATGGATTATAACACCACTTATATTTATAGACTGCAACAAAAAAGAATTAATAAAAAAACGTTAATATTTGACGTTTAAAAAAAAGTGAGGTTATGTCAACTTAAATTAATAAATTTATTAACTTAATTACCTTAATTTTGTTGTTATAACATCGTATTTTGATCATAATTAAATCAGTTTAAGTTATAATCCTTAAAACATCTCCACAATCGGTTTTTTTAATGATTTCGTGAATCAAAGTACAAGACGTTTCATTCCGATTGATAAATCGTAACCCACACTTTAGTAATAAAAAGGTAATTCATTCGGTTTTTCTTCGTTTAAATTCATGTTTAAACATGGATTATAACACCACTTATATTTATAGTCTGCAACAAAAAAGAATTAATAAAAAAACGTTAAATAAAACTTGACATTTAAAAAAAAGTGAGGTTATGTCAACTTAAATTAATAAATTTATTAACTTAATTACCTTAATTTTGTTGTTGTAACATCTTATTTTGATCATAATTAAATCAATTTAAGTTCTAATCCTTAAAACATCTCCACAATCGGTTTTTTTAATGATTTCGTGAATGAAAGTACAAGTTTCATTCCGATTGATAAATCGTAACCCACACTTTAGTAATAAAAAGGTAATTCATTCGGTTTTTCTTCGTTTAAATTCATGTTTAAACATGGATAATAACACCAATTTGATTTATACTCTGCAACAAAAAAGAATTAATAAAAAAAATCAAATAAAATTTGACGTTTAAAAAAAAGTGAGGTTATGTCAACTTAAATCGGGGTTAAAAAATCGTGAGATGTTGAAATTTGTTTAAAAATCACTCAATTTTAATAATATGTGTTACATATATTCATAGGATTCAAGTAAAATAGTTTAGACAACTTTTGTGTATAAAAGTGATATAATTAAAAAGAAATAAAATATAATTTAAGTAATTTCTTGGCGCCATCTAGCGACGAATAGATGTAACTAATAGTAAAATTTACAGTAACCTACAATTCGAGTTGAAAATGCTATAATTTTACTTTGATTTTATTAATACTAATTATTATAAATTTATTAACTTAATTACCTTAATTTTGTTGTTATAACATCGCATTTTGATTATAATTAAATCAATTTAAGTTATTATCATTAATCGGTTTTAAAGTTAATTCGAACTTGTACTTTCATTCCAGTTGATAAATCGTAACCCACACTTTAGTAATAAAAAGGTAATTCATTCGTTTCTTCTTCGTTTAAATTAATGGTTATAGATAGATTATAACAACACTTAGACTTATACTCTGCAACAAAAAAGAATTAATAAAAAAACCGTTAAATTAATATTTGACGTTTAATAAAAAGTGAGGTTATATCTGTTAAATTTGTTGATGAATAAAAACGACAGCGTTCTTAATTTCCACGTTTAATAAAATTCTTTTTAATAATATGATTCGTTATTATAACCGTTAACTTTCTTATATTCAAAAACACGATTTTTATTTATCTTAATATTACAGTTTTCTTTTTAACTTTACATCGAGATGGCGCCACATATTAACGTTTAACAATATCAAATTAATAAATTTATTAACTTAGTTTGATTTAATTTTGCTTTTACAACATCGTATTTTGATTATAATTATTATTATTTTATTTTTTTATTATGATTTTATACTCGACAAAAATAAAAACATTAATTTGACGTTTAAAAAAAAGCGAGGTTATGTCAACTTAAATTAATAAGTTTATTAACTTAATTACTTATTGTTGTATTTAAAACATCTCCCCAATCGGTCTTAAAGTTAATTCGTGAACTTGCACATTCGGCCCCGTCGACAAAACATAACCTATACTTTGCGCAACATCTTCCGGGCGTAAAAAAGGTAAATCGCTCGTTTCTTCTTCGTTTAAATCAACGTTTGAGGAAGAATCAACCGTTTTAACAACACCAGGACTTATACTCTACAAAAATAAAGATTAATTTGACGTTTAATAAAAAGTGAGGTTATGTCAAATTAATATTACTTACAGTTACTTTAATTTTGCTTTTATAATAACGTAATTCTTGCCGCAACGTTTCCGTTAAAGCCGTAACGGCGAATTTTGAGGCTGGGTATACGTTTAAAAAGGGTTCGGTCATCAAAGGGACGTAGTGCCCCACGACGCTGTTCATATTTATTATTTGACCATCAATTTCGTTTTCTTTCATCGATTTTATCGCTTCTCTCGTACAAATGCATAAGCCTAAAACGTTTACGTCGAGGATTTTTCTCCAATCGTAAGTATTTCCTTCTAAAAATGAATTTAATTTAATTTAAAATGACGTTTAATTTGACATTTAATTTGACGTTTAATTTGAATGAGATTTACCACTTAAATTTGTTGATCTTGTTAACGCTGCGTTATTAATTAATAAACTAATAGCTCCTAAATTATCTTTAACGTAACGAAAAGCTCTTAAAATATCGTCTTCTCTGCTAACGTCACATTTGAATGGATATAAATGTCCGGGGTGTTGTAATTCGGCCAATTTTTTGGATAACTCCTCGATTCGGTCGATTTTGCGCGATAATCCGACCACTTTCATACCTTTTTCGACTAAATACTGCGAAATTGTGGCCCCCATTCCCGCGCTAGCCCCCGTAACAACGGCGACTTTGCCCACCCAACGTTCCATTTTAATCTGTAACGAAAAAGGAATCGGGGGTTGTTAGAAAAATAACGATTTAACAAAAAGTGAGGTTAAAAAAAAGGATTGATTTTATTAAACGATATCTTATCACGCTAAAAGGAAGCACACAAATTTTGGGGCCGTTTTGAAACGTCAGTCGGGCATATCGATCGAAATTATGGGCATTATGGGTTTTAGTAGGTCCATACGGCGGGATACGTGCTCTTTTTTGTCTCGTTGGTGGGCTTCGGATGCGTTGGAACGTTCGCTTCGGTAAGAAATGTTGGCGTATTCTTGCAGAATGGGGCAAACTCCTAATATGAAGGAGCAAAAATCTTTTCTGATCCCAAACCACCCTAAAATAAATAAATTTGTGATTAATTTTCGTAAAAAATGACGTTTCATAAAATTGACATTTAATTTTGACGGATTGCTGTGAAGTTGGCTACAACTACCAACTGTTGAATTTGTGTCAAATTGACGTTTAAAATTGATTCAAAAATTTAATTATTATTAATTAATTGAATTACTTACATTTATTACCCCCTTTAGCATTAAAAGACATCAAAATTAACGTAGCGAATGATACAAAGAGTGGGATGGCGACTCCAATGTAGGTTATTTCAATGTCGTTATCTAACTTATTGGCTAAAAGAACCTAAAAGGGTTTTAATTAATTAAATTAAAATTTTTTTTTAATTAATTTACCATAAATATCAAAATGGGAATAACTAAAAACGTGTAACTAACAGCTGTTTGTAAACTGGCCCTTCTTTGTTGTACATTAACCTCTGGAGTCCTCAAAAGAATCCCAGCGAATATAATCGTGTACAAAACTCCCACCTAAAACGGGTTAGAAGAAACAAAAAGGGGACAAGATTAAAATAAAAAGTGTTTTTCTAAATTTGACGTACGTTTACCAAAGATAAACACATTACGATCCAAAGGGGCACAAAAACGATCTCCCAAGACCAATAAATAAACTGATCTAACCTCAAAGCTAAGAAAATAAACTGTAGGACGTTTACAGCACAAAATAATTCCAACTAAAAACGAATAAAGCATAAAAAAACCGTAAAAAAATCAAATTTCTTTCATTTAACCTCAAAAGATCGATCGTGTTTCACGGCCCAAATGCACACGGCTATGGACACGATTGAAATAAAAATTAATGGGATAAAAACCAATATCCACCAATGTCTTTGTGACTCTAATTTGTCACAAACTAATAACTCGAACATTAATAGTACTAAGTGTAGCGCCAATGAGATCAACATCGATTTATAATGGATGTAGGCTTCGCCTTCCAATCTAAAATGAGGGTATCTCCACCAAACGTAACTTCCAACTGTGGCGCCGATTATCACGAGACCTTTCCATACCCAAATCGGGGCGAATACAGTCCAATACGACCAAGTGATGGTGTTATCGAGCCTTAATGCGAATAATACGAAAAATGTTAAAAGGCAAGTGTGTACGATGAATTTGCTAAAAAAAATTAATTATTAATAAAAATTAAGGGAAAATTAAATTGAATTGAGTACCTTGGGTTGAAATCTTTAAATAATGATTGTAAGTTCATTGCTTTTTTGATTTTTTTGGGTGAAAATCGCGTTTAAATTGGATTTTTGTGGTTTTTTAGTTCATGTTTACGTCGCATAACCTCACTTTTTAGGGTGGTACTAAAACGATTTGAAATGTCAAAAAATAATGTGTGAAAGAATCGTTATAAAAGAAATTATTTGTTTTATTTAAATTTATTTATTAATTAGTGTAGAAAATAATTTGCTATTAAATTATTATTGAAACTAAAATAATTGTTAGTTATCTACTTTATCGGCTTAAAAAAATAATAAACAATTTTATGAAATTTAACGTTTAGTTATTTTAGTTCTCCTATTTCCCAAAAGATGGCGCTTCAATTAAATTTTTTTTATTACAATTTATAAAAAAATAAATCGTGCATTTTAGTTTCCTTGAAGTGTCGTTTAAGTGACCATGACCTACTTACAATTGAAATTTTATTCGAAAATTTTAGAATGTCTCCTTGAACTCACCTTGAACGACCTCTAATTGACCTTCAAGAAGATAAAATTGAAAATTTCGCTCGAAAATTTTAGGATGTCTCCTTGAAGTCACCTTGAACGACCTCTAATTGACCTTCAAGAAAATAAAATTGAAAATTTTGGTCGAAAATTTTAGGATGTCTCCTTGAACTCACCTTGAATGACCTCTAAGTCACCTTCAAAATGATAAAATTGAAAATTTTTGTTGAAAATTTTAGGATATCTCCTTGAACTCACCTTGAACGACCTCTAATTAACATTGACCCACTTAAAAATGTAAAAATAAAATGAAATTTAATCTTTTGAGTCGCCACTTTAAATTGAAAAAAGGTTTGGTGGAGAATAAAACACAACTTTAAATTTAAATTTTTGCTTTTCTTTATTAATTATAACAATTTTGTCAAAATATAACAAAGTAAATTAATATTAATCATTTTTAAAAAAGTTATGGTGTATAGATTTTGTACCTAAATCGTACTCCGTCGCGATCGTATCCTTCAATTGAAGCATGAAGAGAACGATATACAGAATAGCGTGTGTAGTTTTCAAAAATATTAAAACGAATATTTGGATATAACGAACGCAAAATATTGTTTATAAATGAAGGTCGGTGTGTATCAACTGCAAGGGCGATTTCTACTGTAGATAGAACAAGTCTTATCATTTCATCATCCATATTATGATACCTTACCCAAGGCTAAAACAATTTCAAATTAAAAAAAATTAGTCAGTGCAACATGAATAGTTTTACCTGTCTTAATAACTCAGAATTGTTGGGGGGTAATATTTCAACATCATCTGTTTCAGCTTCATTCAATATTGCAGCACCAATGCAGCCATTAATAAGGGCTAAAACTACAAGGATGACAACAACTTTAAAACCCATCTTGAGTCTCTTCAAGCAACACAATCATAGTATATTTGGTTTCTCGCCGTTTATATATGATACATCTAACTGATTTTCTAAACAGATATGTTCTAAGTGGGATAAGATTAAGAATCTCACATTCAATCACTTTTAGTGGATTTAAGACAGCTTAAATTGTTTATTATCTTCTATTATTTATTTTTAATTGTTCTTAAATGTCTTAAATTGAGATACAATCAACATTTTTGAGTAGTTTTGAATTCAGGAATAAACATAGATTATGATCTTCTCGTTCATTATAAGCGGTGATTGCTTCTTGATACCACTAAAAATAAATTAATTAATAATAAATAATTAAGAAAACTCTGGTTTATAAGAATCAATAAAATTGTTACCTAAAATATACGCAGTTTAAGCGTAAAAAGTGTTTCGAAATAATTATTAATTAAAAAAAGTGAGGTTAAACACAACAACGTTTGACAAATATATTTCGAAATCATTACCAACCTTAAAATGACAAAGTGAGTAAAATTATGTTTTATAGGATAATTGTCTTAAAAAATGGAGGTTAATTTTCAAAGTGGTCCCCAAAACTTTTCTATTCGTTAAAATAAAACGATTTTTGTTGCGTTTAACACTCGGAAAGAATCAAATTAATTTATTAAAAAATTTGATAAAAAATAGGGATATTAATATTTTTTTTTTGTTTGGGTTGGTATTGAAAAAAGAAATGGAGGTTATGTTGATACCGTTCTTTTTACCTTAAAAAAATAGAAAAATTTACGGATTATTTAATAACACATCATAAAAATGGTATTATTAATACAATAAGAGATGAAGAAAGCGATAAACACATCCCAATAAATATTTAGTAAGTTAAAATAAAATTAAATAACTTTTTTTTTAAGGTTATAAATAATTTTATGAAGTTATTCGAAGAAAACAATTCATCGAGAAAAAGAATTCGAGTCTACGATATCAAAATATTTAACTCATAAACATTTATAATAAATTGCAGGTAATTTATTATAATTTTTAAAATAAATTTATTTTATAGGTTATGTTTTAGGAGCCGTCAAAAAAATAATATTTGGAATATAATCGAAATTTAAGCTGATTTTTAACAAAACAATTTAGTTAAAGCCTCAAAAGTTTGTTTAAATCAAAATTGTGAATCTAATAAGTTTGTAATTGACAACGAAATACTTTATAATTAAGTCGGATGTATTCCGAACACATTATGGGATATTATCAAGGATGATTTGGTCGATTATTATAAACTATAACACTTTGGTAATTAATTTTTTCAAAAAATTTGATTCATTTTAGTTTAAATAACTTTTATATTATAAAGTTCTTATTTTGTAGGTAGTTATTTTATGTCAGAGATTAAAAAAGGAGAAATCTACTTTTTTTAGTTAATTCAGTCATTCATAGATGGCTTTCATTTGAAATGACATTAATTAATAATAATACAAAAATAAATGTTATAAATAAGAAAATAACGATTAGATTTTGGTGAAATTAGTTTTAACGAAATTATTTTATTCTAGGAAAGCTTGAGAGGCAATTAGAAACCAAATCATCCCATTATGATTAATAGAAATTATGATACAAATTGAAATTAAATAATTAACCTTATTATACACCTTACCTTAACAATAAAGTTATATTTAACTTTTAAATCAACTCATTTGTCTCAAAATACGGCCAAACTACGATGGTATCATCAGAAGGAGCAGCAACATCTTTATCCTATAAATAATTATAATATTAATACATTAATTAAGATCGTTTATGATCTTACCTTGTACAGAAAATATTTGTATTTCATAATTAAAATAAAATTATTTATTATTTCCCAAGAATTTGATTCATTTTAGTCGAAATAACGTTTATATTTATATTTTTTATATTAGTTTTTATTTTGTAGGTTATGTTGTTTTATGTCGGTAATTAAAAAAAGGAATCTACTTTTTTTAGTTGATTTAGTTAATCATAGATGACTCATGTGAAATGTCATCAAGTAAAATGTTTTTTTCATTATTTCCTTATAAATGTTTCATTTTAGGTGCATTTTAGTTTAAATAATTTTTTACTCATTCTGTAAATAAAACTTGTTATTTTCCTATGAATATGTTAAATATTACAACAAATTACCTTTATATTCTGTCTTTAGTCACCATTTAATTGTTCCTTAAAATTCTGCGAACTAAATGTTATTGAAGTCACAAAATAAAACGTAGAGATGGAATTATTATCTTAACGATACAATTCAGGAGATTGGAGGTTAATTGGTGAACCGTTTTCTTCACAAATTCACATTTGCCCGCTTTTAAGAAGATCCGATTTAGTTTTTATCTTCAGAGATGTTTCCATTACAAATTAATATTAAATTTTTTTTTGATTTGTCTCCAAATAAGGCCAAACTACGATGGTATCATCAGAAAAAGAAGCATCGTTTTTACCCTATAAATAATTATAATATTAATACATTAATTAAGGTCGTTTATGATCTTACCTTGTACAGGAAATATTTGTATTTCATAATTAAAATAAAATTATTTATTATTTCCCCATGAATTTGATTCATTTTAGTTTAAATAACCTTTATTTATATTCGTTTTTATTTTGTAGGTTATATTGTTTTATGTCGGTAATTAAAAAAAAAGGAATCTACTATTTTTAGTTGATTTAGTCAATCATAGATGGTGTAGTAGAATGGTGCTTTTTTCATTATTTTCTTATGAATGTTTCGTTTTCGTTTAATTAGCGATACGATTTAAAAAATTAGAGGTTAATTGGTAACCATTTTCTTCATAAATTCACATTTAGAAGTTGAGTTTCTCGCTCATCAAATCAGGTACAAATAGGAAGTGAAAAACTACGATTCACAGCTCCTAAAAGATATAGTTAATCGTTTAAATCAATTTCACTCTTTATTTTTATTTAATTTACCGCAATTTTTATATTTCGAGATAACTATTAATTACAAAAAGTGAGATTAAACACAACATTTTTGACAAATCTTTATTGACACTTCACAGCCTTCACACGGTCATGATTACCAACCTCAAAAAGGCAAATTGAGAGGTTATTATCATTATTAAAAGTGGGTGTTAAAACTTATGTATTCGTTAAAATCAAAGGATTTTTGTTGCGTTACAAAATTAAAAATATTCATAGGACAATAACGAATACAAGTTTTATTTACAGAATAAGTAGGATCCTACTTTATTTGTTGATGACATTTCGGATGAGAGCCATCTGTGAATACCTGGTAAACCTGCATTTACCTGCTAAAACCCCACATTTCATCACATTTCAGGTTAAGTTGTTTTTATTGATAAGAATCCTAAAATATACACAGTTTGAGCAAAAAGAATGCTTCGAAGTAATATTTACAAAAATGAGGTTAAACTCATAAATTTATTTGTTGACACTTCACTGTCGTGATTACTAACCTCAAAAAGCCAATTGAGTAAAATTACTTTATTACGTAAACTCAACTCAAAATCACACTTGACAAAACTGTTTAAATCTGTCATAAAACAAAACGGTTGAGAACTGTCAGAAGTACGCGATTTGAAATTTGAATTAGATTTATGCCTAACTTCGTTCTACATATTACAAAATGAACGGTTAGCGCCATCTATTGAAATGGACTAATACTAATAACTGATTTCACTTGTAATGTATTGAGTTGAACCACCCTGATTACATGTTACAATCTAATACACTTACGTCAATTTATTTTAAATGTTTCTTGTGATAATTAGCATGTTGATTTTCTAGTAAACGTTTTTATTGAAATAAATCTGTGTCTTTATTTTTAGGTGTAATGTGTGTTATGCTTAAACTTTCGGGCAGGATTGGGTATGCACGTGCTTCTCTTTGTTTAAATAAAATGGAAAGAAATGATGTTTACAACAATACTTTATAAAGTGGTGGTTTGAAGGGGGCTGTATTCATATTCATAGTTTTTATTATTGGTTCATTTTCTTGAATAAAGTCTTCATAATGTGGATATCTATAGAGTTGTGATTCGATTTCTATTGCCGTATTATTTGGGTTTGTTTTGGTTTGAATAGAAAACTTTTTTAATTGGTCCCACTAGATTCAACAACTCTTCATAACAAGCGTTAGTCATGCGAAAGAAGCTTTGAAAATCTTTTGGATTAGACACCAGATTTAAATCCGTTAGATTTTTGGTTTTGGGGACATTTAAAACAAATAGTTTATTCTAAAGACGTTCAAAATGTGCAGGATTTGAAAAATAAAATTAGTAATGCATTTCGTCGTTGTCATTTTAATATCTTCTATGTGCAAAACAAATTGTTTTGAGTAAATTAACAAAAACTATTTAAAAATTGTTTGAAAAGTTTACAGGGTTTTATTTGTTATCTAATGCACCTTAATAATGTTTTTCGACATTTTGATATTATAATTTATCTAGTTTCATGATGCTATACGAGAATTTATATAATATTTGTGTGGTAGGCTACACATATGAGGTATTAAATGTTCGTTATGTTCACATAGGTGACATTGTTTTTAAATAAATTCTGCAAAATAAACTTTTGAACAGATTTTATTTTTATTTTAGAAAACAGATAATTGTAATAAAAAAGTAATTATTCAAAATGATTAAAAAAAAACTTTAAAACGAAATTATTTTTTTTGTCGGGTTTAAATGTAAGAGAACCATAAAAAGGTCGATGGGGTTCTTCAATAATTGACTNTAATTAATTTTATTTATTAACTAAAATTATGGGATATTATCAAAGATGATTTGGTCGAATATTATAAACTATAACACTTTGGTAATTAATTTTTTCAAAAAATTTGATTCATTTTAGTTTAAATAACTTTTACATTATAAAGTTCTTATTTTGTAGGTTACGTTATTTTATGTCAGAGATTAAAAAAGGAGAAATCTACTTTTTTTAGTTAATTCAGTCATTCATAGATGGCTTTCATTTGAAGTGTCATTAATTAAAAATAATACAAAAATAAATGTTATAAATAATGATTAGATTTTGGTGAAATTAGTTTTAACAGAATCATTTCATTCTAGGAAAAGAAACCAAGTCATCTCATTACGATTAATACAAGCATGGTTTTAAGAAGTTACAATTTAGTTTTTATCTTCCGAGATGTTAACAATACAAATTGGGATTAAAAATTAACCTTACCTTTATAATAAAGTCACATTTGAGCTTTAAATCAACTCATTTGTCTCAAAATAAGGCCAAATTACGGTGGTATCGTCAGAAAAAGTAGCAGCGTTTTTATCCTATAAATAATTATAATATTAATACATTAATTAAGGTCGTTTATGATCTTACCTTGCAAAAAAAATATTTGTATTTAATAATTAAAATAAAATTGGTTATTATTTCCCCAAGAATTTGATTCATTTTAGTTTAAATAACCTTTATTTATATTCCTCCTTATTTTATAGGTTATATTGTTTTATGTCGGTAATTAAAAAAAGGAATCTACTATTTTTAGTTGATTCAGTCAATCATAGATGACTCATTTGAAATGTCATCAACATATAAAATAGAATGCTGCTTTTTTAATTATTTTCTTATCAACGTTTCGTTTCAGTTTAATTAGCGATACGATTTAAAAAATTAGAGGTTAATTGGTAACCATTTTCTTCATAAATTCACATTTAGACATTGAATTTCTCGATCATCAAATCAGGTACAAATAGGAAGTGAAAAACTTACCATTCACAGCTCCTAAAAGATATGTTAAATCAATTTCACTCTTTATTTTTATTTAATTTACCACAATTTTTATATTTAGAGATAATTATTAATTGTAAAGCACAACATTTTTGACAAATCTCTATTGACACTTCACGGCCAAGATTACCAACCTCAAAAAAGCAAATTAAGAGCTGTCAAAAAAATAATATTTGGAATATAATTGAATTAAAGTTGATTTTCAACAAAGACATTTAGTTAAAGTTTATTATTAAATAATTCGATTAGAAACCAAATCGTCCTATTACAATTAACAGAGGCACTCCAAGTACGCTTTTAAGAAGTTTCCATTTAGTTTTTATCTTCAGAGATGATTAGGATACAAATTGAGATTAAATAATTAACCTTACCTTTACAATGAAATTATATTTGAGTTTTAAATCAACTCATTTGTCTCAAAAATAAGGCCAAACTACGATGGTATCATTAGAAAAAGCAGCATTCTCCTTAATCCTATAAATAATTATAATATTAATACATTAATTAAAGTCGTTTATGATCTTACTTACCTTGTATTGAAAATATTTGTATTTCATAATTAAACTAAACTTATTTATTATTTCCCCAAGTATTTGTTTCATTTTACTCGAAATAACGTTTATATTATAAAGTATTTATTTTGCAGGTTATGTTGAATTATGTCGGTAATTCAAAAAAAAGGAATCTACTTTTCTAGTTAATTCATTCAATCATAGATGACTCTCATCTGAAATATATTTGTTTATTGTTCTGAAAATAAAACTTATTTTGCTATGAATATATTTAATTAACGTTTAAATTACAACAAATTACCTTTAATTTAATTGTTCCTTAAAATTCTGCGAACTAAATGTTATTGGAGTCGCAAAATAAAAGGTAGAGGTGGAATTATTATCTTAATGATACGATTCAAAAGATTGAAGGTTAATTAGTAACCTTACCTTTACAATAAAGTCATATTTGAGCTTTAAATCAACTCATTTGTCTCAAAATTACGTATCAAAATAGTATTATCAAAAAGAGTAGCATCATCTTTATCCTATAAATAATTATAATATTAATACTTTTTAATTAAGGTCGTTTATGATCTTACCTTATAAAGAAAATGTTTGTATTTAATAATTAAAATAAAACTGGTTATTATTTCCCCAAGAATTTGATTCCTTTTAGTTTGAATAACATTTATATTAGTTTTTATTTTGTAGGTTATATTGTTTTATGTCGGTAATTAAAAAAAAGGAATCTACTTATTTAGTGGATTCAGTCAATCATAGAGGACTCTCATTTCAAATTGCCCCTAAAGTCCCTAGATTTACAAAGTACCGCGGTTTGACGACATTATGGCTCGTAAATCAAACGGGAAATTTAAAACTATCATATCTGTAAATAAAGCTTATGTCATAATATGTTTCATTTTAGTTTAATTAGCCCTTATTACCTTTAAATTACGTCTTCAATCACCATTTAATTGTTTCTTAAAACTATACAAACTATAAGTAATCGAAGTCACAAAATAAAACGTAGAAATGGAATTATTATCTTGACGATACGATTTAAAAGATTAGAGAGAGATTACTTGGAGAACCATTTTCTTTAGAAATTCACATTTAGAAGTTGAGTTTCTCGTTCATCAAATAGGAAGTGAATCAACACAATTTTTATAAATGATTAATATTTTTAAGTTACTTTGTTATTTTTTGAAAGACATGTTATAATTAATAAAGAACCGTTTTATTATTAATATTATTAAACCGTTTTTAATTTAAAGTGGCGACTTGAAAGTTTAAATTTCTTTTTATTTTTATATTTTTAAGTGGGTCAATGTTAATTAGAGGTCATTGCAGGAGACATCCTAACATGTTCGACCAACATTTTCCAATTTATCTTATTGAAGGTGAATTAGAGGTCATTGAAGGTGAGTTCAAGGTGACATCTAAAAATTTTTGTCTCCTTGAAATGCCTTTTAAGTTGGTCAAGACACAACTTTAATTTATTTATTAATTGTAAAACAATTCCTTCAAAATATAACAAAGTGACATAAAAGCATTAAGATATTAATCATTATGAAAAAGATGTAAAGATTTTGTACCAAGTGCGCTTTCCGTCGCGATCGTATCCTTCAATTTCAGCATTAAGAGAAATATATACAGAATAGGCAGTGTAGTTTTCAAAAATATTAAAACGAATATCCGGATATAATTCAGCCAAAGTAGTTCGTATAAATATAATTCGTGGTAAATCCATCTGAAGGGCGCGTTCTATTGTAGTTAGAACATTATTTATCATTTCATCATCCATATTATGACGCACTATCCAAGTCTAAAACAGATTTCAAATTAAAAAAATTAGTCAATGGAACATGAATATTTATAGAAAAATATTAAACCTCTTTTAATAACCCAGAAGTGTTGTTTAATATTCCAACTCCATGCGTTTCACCTTCATCCAATATTAACTCAGCTCCACTTATAAGGGCTAAAACTGCAAGAACAACAACAACTTTAAAACCCATCTTGACTTCCTCAAGCAACACAATCATAGTATATTTGGTTTCTCACTGTTTATATATGATACATTTGATTTTCTAAACAGATATGTGCTAAGTGGAATAAGATTAAGAATCTGACATTTTAAGTGATTTAATTAAACACAGCTTATTAATTAATTATTATTGTTATCTTATATTATTTATCTTCAAACACCCTTAAATATCTTAAATTGAGATACGATCAACATTTTTGAGTTGTTTTAGATTCAGAAATAAACATTAAATATTAAAATATCTTTTGACAAACATATTTCGCCATGATTACCAACCTTAAAATGACAAATTGAGTAAAATTATTTTTTGTAGGATAATTGTCATAAAAAAAAGGCAGGTAAATTTACAAAGTGGTCCCCAAAATTATTCTATTCGCTAAAATAAAAGGATTTTTGTTGAGTTTACTTTTTTTAAGACGAAAAAAATGTTGAAAAAAAATTACGTTGGTATTGAATTAAAATTAAATCCCTAAAAATTTGAATTAATCAATTAAATCAATTATTTTTGTGTTAATTATCATTAAAAAGCAAGTTAATGATTAAATTGAGTTTAAAAAGTTAATTATTTATAAAATTAAAAAGAATTTTTTGTTTCGTTAAAAAAAATTATAAAAAATAGGGAAATTTGTAATGAATTTAGGTTGGTATTGAAAAAAGAAATGGAGGTTATGTTGATATTGTTAATTTTACCTTAAAAAATAGAAAAATTTACCGATTATTTAATAACACATCATAAAAATGGTATTATTAATACAATAAGAGATGAAGAAAGCGATAAACACTTCCCAATAAATATTAAGTAAGTTAAAATAAAATCTCAAACATTTAAAATCGTTGTTATAAATTGCAGGTAATTTATTATAATTTTTAAAATAAATTAATTTTATAGGTTATGTTTTAGGAGCTGTCAAAAACCTTGGTTGGTACCAACCTCAAAAATTAAAAATCCTCTAAATAACTTAAATCTGTCAACGTAGACGACTTTAAAAAAGAATTGATTTTCGGGCCCCAAAATGTTTTTTAACCCCGTGAATGCGTCAAAAAATTATTTTACATGGGCCAATTTACACTTAATCGCATATTTAGGAATATCATCATGAGAATTTTTATCTCGAAATTACGTTTCGGACATAACCTAACTTTTTTATGTCAATTTAAAAATAGTTGTAAGTTGATTCATTTTACATCAAATTATCATTTTAATAATCATTTTAGATTATTAACGCGTAATACAACCTAAAATTTCTAGTTTTTGGACGAGTTAAATAGTCCTTGAAAAAATTAGGTTAGGTTGAGAAACATTCGTTACAAAAATTAAGTGTACTTACTTCGCTTTAAAAAAAGGATATTTTAACTCCATTTAATGCGCAAATAGTTTAATATAATCGCGTTAATTATTATAAAACTTTCTCTTGACGCAACAAGTGGTTTTTATTTAAAGATGTCGGTGCTTATTGATAAATCACCATGGTAACGGCAGGGTTGAAAACTTTGAAACAAAAAATTATTTTACTCGCAACATTTTCGTAGACTTTTCTGTCGATGGAATGAGAAATAAAACTAAAACTAGAAATTTTTAGGTTATGCCGAAAATTTCTAGTTTTAGTTTTATTTTTAACGCAAATTAAGTTAAATATTTTTTTTTAAAGAAACGTCAAAAAAATTAATGAAAAAGACGCGTATGAGGTAGCGCCATCTATTGACATTTATAAACATTAATTGAAATGTCGCTAAATTGTGTTGGAAAAGTAATTTCCTCAACAACATTTTCTAGCACAGTTTTAAACTAATTTAAATCAATTCTCGTTTACTTCACGTCAATTTTGATGTATTAATTTAAGGGATTTTTTATTTTTTACTTAATTCAGTTAATTGACGTTATTCTTGTCAATTAATGACAGTTAATGACAGTGACCAAAGTAACTTTTATCCCTCGAAGTATCGTACAACAAGGAATTTCCGTCGAAATCATTTCTGGTTAACATAATAAGAGATTCAGAAAACGATAAATATTAAGTAAGTTTAAATAAAATTAATTTTTTTTTTTAAGGTTATAAATAATTTTATGAAGTTATTCGAAGAAAACAATTCATCGAGAAAAAGAATTCGAGTCTACGATATCAAAATATTTAACTCATAAACATTTATAATAAATTGCAGGTAATTTATTATAATTTTTAAAATAAATTTATTTTATAGGTTATGTTTTAGGAGCCGTCAAAAAAATAATATTTGGAATATAATCGAAATTTAAGCTGATTTTTAACAAAACAATTTAGTTAAAGCCTCAAAAGTTTGTTTAAATCAAAATTGTGAATCTAATAAGTTTGTAATTGACAACGAAATACTTTATAATTAAGTNGAAAATTGGAACTAAATTAAATGCAATGTTGGTTGCATAACTTAATTATAATAAATTTTATTTATTAACTAAAATTTTATTAATTATGTTAAATTCACTCGGGAAATGTTGAAAAATGTTATAAAACACCCGGAATCCAATTAATAATAATAATTATTATTCAATCTCAATTTGTACTGTAACCATCTCGAAAGATAAAAACTGTATTAATCGTTATTAATTATTAACATATATGATTTGGTTTCTGATTGCTTTTCTTGCTTTCTTAGGATGAAATATTCTGTTAAAACATCTAATTTCACCAAAATTTAATTGTTGCTAATACAAAATAAAGTGTTGTAATGCGATTTTATAAATAAATTTTGTTTACCTTATTGAATAATTTTAAGAATTTGGAATAGAATTTAAAGAAATAACTTCGTATCTTTATTTAAACGTTTAAAATAACCATAAAAGTGAGATTAAACACAATTTTTGAAACATTATTTGTTGACATTCACTACCAACCTTAAAATACGAAATTAATTAAAATTTGTTTTGTTTGGGTTGGTATTGAAAAAAGAAATTGAGGTTATGTTGATGCGGTTAATTTATGTTAAATTAGAAAAACTTACCGATTATTTAATAAAACATGATAAAAACGGTATTATTAACATAATAAGAGATAAACACTTCTCAATAAACAGTAAGTAAATAAAGTTTAAAAAAAATTAATTTTATAGGTCATATTTTAGAAGCTGTCAAAAAATAATATTTGGAATATAATTGAATTAAATCAGCATGAGAGGCAATTAAAAACCAAATTACGATTAATATAACCACTTTAAGGACGCTTTTAAGAAGTTTCGATTTAGTTTTTAATCTTCAGTGAAGGTTACGATACAAATTGAGATTAAATAATTAACCTTACCTTTACAATAAAGTCATATTCGAGCTTTAAATCAAACTCATTTGTCTCAAAATAAGGCCAAACTACGATGGTGTCATCAGAAAAAGCAGCATTCTCCTTAATCCTATAAATAATTATAATATTAATACATTAATTAAAATCGTTTATGATCTTACTTACCTTGTACTGAAAATATTTGTATTTCATAATTAAACTAAATTTATTTATTATTTCCCCAAGTATTTGTTTCATTTTGCTCAAAATAACGTTTATATTATAAACTTTTTATTTTGCAGGTTATGTTGAATTATGTCGGTAATTTAAAAAAAAAGGTATCTACTTTTCTAGTTAATTCATTCAATCATAGATTACTCTCACTTGAAATATATCTGTTCATTAATCCCTTGTTCTGTAAATAAAAATTGTTATTTTGTTATGAATATGTTTAATTAACCTTTAAATTACAACAAATTACCTTTAAATTCCGTCTTTAGTCACAATTTAATTGTCCCTTAAAATTCTGCGAACTAAATGTTATTGGAGTCGCAAAATAAGAGCTAGAGGTGGAATTATTATCTTAATGATATGATTCAAAACATTGGAGGTTAATTGGTGAACCGCTTTCTTCACAAATTCACATTTGCACACTTTTAAAAAGTTTCGATTTAGTTTTTATCTTATGAGATGGTTACGATACAAATTGAGATTAAATAATTAACCTTACCTTTACAATTAAGTCATATTCGAGCTTTAAATCAACTCATTTATCTCAAAATAAGGCCAAACTACGATGGTATCATCAGAAAGAGCAACATTCTCCTTCATCCTATAAATTATTATAATATTAATACATTAATTAAAGTCGTTTATGATCTTTCTTACCTTGTACTGAAAATATTTGTATTTCATAATTAAACTAAATTTATTTATTATTTCCCCAAGTATTTGTTTCATTTTACTCGAAATAACGTTTATATTACAAAGTTTTTATTTTGCAGGTTATGTTGAATTATGTCGGTAATTTAAAAAAAGGAATCTACTTTTCTAGTTAATTCATTCAATCATAGATGACTCTCATCTGAAATATATTTGTTTATTGTTCTGAAAATAAAATTTATTTTGCTATGAATATATTTAATTAACCTTTAAATTACAACAAATTACCTTTAATTTAATTGTTCCTTAAAATTCTGCGAACTAAATGTTATTGGAGTCGCAAAATAAAAGGTAGAGGTGGAATTATTATCGTAATGATANTAAAAATAAATTAATTAATAATAAATAATTAAGAAAACTCTGGTTTATAAGAATCAATAAAATTGTTACCTAAAATATACGCAGTTTAAGCGTAAAAAGTGTTTCGAAATAATTATTAATTAAAAAAAAGTGAGGTTAAACACAACAACGTTTGACAAATATATTTCGAAATCATTACCAACCTTAAAATGACAAAGTGAGTAAAATTATGTCTTATAGGATAATTGTCATAAAAAATGCAGGTTAATTTTCAAAGTGGTCCCCAAAATTATTCTATTCGCTAAAATAAAAGGATTTTTGTTGTGTTTACTTTTTTAGGACGAAAAGTGTCAAAAAAAATGTTGAAAAATAAATTACGTTGGTATTGAATTAAAATTAAATCCCTAAAAATTTGAATTAATCTATTAAATTAATTATTTTTGTGTTAATTATCATTAAAAAGCAAGTTAATGATTAAAATGGGCTTAAAAACTTATTTATTTAGAATGTCAATAAAAAAATTTTTGTTTCGTTAAAAAATTTGATAAAAAATAGGGAAATTAATAACGTTTGGGTTGGTATTAAAAAAAGAAATGGAGGTTATGTTGATACCGTTCATTTTAGATTAAAAAAATAGAAAAATTTACGGATTATTTAATAACACATCATAAAAATGGCATTATTAATACAATAAGAGATGAAGAAAGCGATAAACACATCCCAATAAATATTAAGTAAGTTAAAATAAAATTAAATAACTTTTTTTTTAAGGTTATAAATAATTTTATGAAGTTATTCGAAGAAAACAATTCATCGAGAAAAAGAATTCGAGTCTACAATATCAAAATATTTAACTCATAAACATTTATAATAAATTGCAGGTAATTTATTATAATTTTTAAAATAAATTCATTTTATAGGTTATGTTTTAGGAGCTGTCAAAAAAATAATATTTGGAATATAATCGAAATTTAAGCTGATTTTTAACAAAACAATTTAGTTAAAGCCTCAAAAGTTTGTTTAAATCAAAATTGTAAATCTAATAAGTTTGTAATTGACAACGAAATACTTTATGATTAACTCGGATGTATTCCGAACACATTATGGGATATTATCAAAGATGATTTGGTCGAATATTATAAACTATAACACTTTGGTAAATAATTTTTTCAAAAAATTTGATTCATTTTAGTTTAAATAACTTTTACATTATAAAATTCTTATTTTGTAGGTTAAGTTATTTTATGTCAGAGATTAAAAAAGGAGAAATCTACTTTTTTTTAGTTAATTCAGTCATTCATAGATGGCTTTCATTTGAAATGTCATTAATTAATAATAATACAAAAATAAATGTTATAAATAAGAAAATAACGATTAGATTTTGGTGAAATTAGTTTTAACGAAATTATTTTATTCTAGGAAAGCTTGAGAGGCAATTAGAAACCAAATCATCCCATTATGATTAATAGAAATTATGATACAAATTGAAATTAAATAATTAACCTTATTATACACCTNACGTTTCATTTTTGACAGTTCTTTGATAATATTAAAAAAATTAATTTATTATTGCAAAAATGAAATCTACACAAAATTTTGATTAATTTAAGTCCAAACGCCACCTAATTATTTTCATAAACAAGGGAGATATGGGGCTTTAAAGAAAACGATCTTCGATTGTTTTTTGATTCTGTCATAATAAAAAGTGTCATAACTTTTTTGTATTTACAGATAACCCCATCGAGTTTGGTATCATTTTAAAGGATTTTTCATTTTCTTTTCAATGATCGTAAAATTAAAATTAAAGTATAAACTTTAAAGTGACATTTTGGTTTTTATTCCAAATTAGAATCCCGTTTTAACTTTAAAAGTCGATTTTGATTATTAAACATTAAAAATTTTCCGCGATTTATTTGATTT